AGAAAAAAGATAACACTTAAAAGATAAGATAAGATAAAGATAGCACTGACACTTTTATTATGAATAATTATTTTTATATTTTTAACTATTTGATAGTGTTATATTATTTGTCATAATTTTTAACTTTAAGTTAAACTAAATTCAATTTTAGAATCTTTTGAAGTGGAAGAAAATGAAAAATTGTTGCAAAATTAATGGCAAAAAAAGCGAATCTGAAATTTTCAAAATATTTAAAAGTGGAATCGAGGTCTTCTCAAATTTTCAATATCGCATCCAGGAAACATCCGTACCAAAAAAATGATTCTGCTTTTTCATGAAAATCTTCATATGTCTTCATATACTACTTGGTTATTAAGTATAACATTCAGATTAAGAAGTTATCTTCATGGCAAAATTTCCTTGAATATCGAGTTCGCTCAATTATTATCCGATCTTTAACTCAAATTTTCAAATTTTTTTTAATTTGAAACTCGGACAGAACTTTTTATTTCGAAGTCAAGTTCATAGCTTATTTTTATTTCCAATTTGTTATTTCTGAAGGTTCTTGGAAATGAAAGAAATGAACATCAAGTGGATATTCAATTAATATAATTTAATAAATAAAATAAATAAAATTGAAGAAATTGAAGAATAAAATAAAGCATAAAAGTGCAAATTTAGAACAAAATTGTCTTTTGCCATGAAGTTTGACTGTTCGGTTAAATTATGGAAATATGGTTAATGCGAAATTATAAATATGAGCATCGTTTAGTAACTTTTGTCATTTGTCATTCTCGTGAGCTGTTATGTCGATCTTCTCTCCGTCAATAATTCATTATTTCTGCTAAATTATATTGTGCTTCCCTAAAAAGATAAAAGGAATACATTATTCGCCTTAATATATTAGATATTCTAAAAAGCATTCTTAAAAATATATTGTTTTTATCGTTTTATATCAAGTTCTTTTATTTATAAGATAAAAGAGATTTTTGTTTGTCACATTTATTCAAATGGCACCGAAAAAGATTGCAGCTAATAAGGTCGCTTCTGCCAGTGATGTCGGCTCCTTAACTATCGAGGACTTGAGGACTTGAGAATTAGCTTCCATTACTGAGAAATATGAAAAGCAACAAGATCTAATTCTGCATTTAACCAGATCTATTGAGATACTTACAATGGTCAACGAGGAACTTAAGAATGTTATCAATAATTTGAAAGCCTTTGGATGGCAAATTTTAGTCTCCAAAAATCTCAACTGAACAACTATTGATGAATATTTTGAAAAAAAGAAAAAGAACCATGTCTAATTGACATAAATGTTCCAGAGAAATCTGCTGATCATGAGGCTGCTACTGCCGATAGGCTCTTAGCAGAGAATATTTTAGCGGCCGTTGGGATCTAGACTGACTACATTAAGGAAGTCTGTCGACATAGAAGGAGTCAGGCAGGCCACGAATACTTAAGATTCGACTTGAAGATAAGTACATGACTATGTCTATTTTGCGTAATAAGAACGTGCGCTCGATTGCTCCCCATGGAAGCTTTTAAAAGAAGGATATAACGAAAAGAGAACTATTACTAGACAACTGTTGCGAAAAGAATGTTATATGCGAAATCAGAATATCAATCTGAAGAAGTACGTCGTCAGAAATCTTCAAATAGTGGAACTAAGGCAGCCTCGCCAATGGTTTACAACGACAAACAATTTTTCGATTCCAATTTTCTCTCATCAATCTACTAAAGCTTAGGACAACTTGCCAAGTAAGATTAATAAAATAGGAAGTAATTTATCTTTATATATATTTAATGCAAGAAATTTGAAATATAAACTTTATGACTTATAGCTCTTACTAATTGATAACCCAAATATTTTCTGTATCAGTGAAAAATGGTTGTATGATTGTACTGATAATCGGGAACTAAATTCGACGGCTTTATAGTATCACATAAGAACAAAACAATAAATGGTTTGAATATAAGTATTCGTGGAAGTGGGTTTAACACGCTTATTCCTGATTATTATAAATTTGCAATTTTTGCTGACTATGTTTATTCTTTTTTGAATCTCAGAAAACTAAAATTTATCTTAATAACAGAAATATTTTCTTTTTAAATCGATACCGCCCACCCTGCTATGGAAGCAAATTCATAAGGGATCTTTACAACCTGTTATTCAGATTAAAATTGTTTGGTGCCAATTATGTAACTGTTGGTGATCTTAATGTGCCAAACATTAATAGTTTGAGAAAATAGTTGCTTGAAAAATAGCAAATTTGAAGAGGACTTTCTAAATTTTTCACTTATATAGGTCTAGAACAACAACATAAGATTGCCACTAGGTATAACATTGTATTAGATGTATTATTAATTACTTCTACTCCTCTTGTTGATAACATTAAAGTCTTGGAATCTTTTTGTAATAGTGATCACAATATCATTCATGCTTCATTCATTAAAATTAGACCATTATGAACCTCTCTCGAGATTTGCTAGGAATTACCGTGATTATGAAATTATTAATTCTATCCTCGCAGAAATAAACTGGGATTTCTTTTTTCGTCTAACTCTCTCTATTAATGAAAAAATTAATTTTCTTAATAGCATCATATTATTTTATAGAGCAAACCAAGAAAAAAAGCGTTAAGTCGATTCCCATTTTTTTAAAGTCTCTTAAAAAAAGTATCAAAAAGCTTTATAGAAAATACAAATTAGCCAAATTGCCATGTGACCTCCCTGCATATAAAGAATGTTTAAGAAGCTTCCGTAGTGCCATTCATAATTACTTTTCAAATAAAAATATTAATAGAAATTCCTTCTGAACCTACATCAAAAGAAAATTTTCCGCGTAAACAATTAATGATAATGTGATCACTTCTGATATTGATAATGCAAGAATTTAATCAATATTTTTCCAGTGTATTTTCCAGTGTATTCCAGTATATGAGAATAATACTCATACTTCCTGTTTTAACGTAAATCGAATTTGTTGCATTTTTCTCGGTGAAGTTGAAATATCAGAATAACACTGAATGTTTATGATGCCTTAAATAGCCTTAAGCCGCCCATTTCAGCTGGTCCCGATAATATTCCACAAATAATTCATAGAAAATGTGCAGTTTCACTGAGTCTTCTCCACTATTTTTAATTTATAAGAATATTATGAAGTCTGGCCTTAATTCGAATATTTGGAAATTCTCATATAATTCCCATTCATAAAAAAAGGAAGCATTTACGACCCTTCTAATTACAGACCTATTAGCCTAACATGCCTTGGTAGCAAGATACTGGAAAAGTTGATTTGCAACAAGTTCCTTATTTATCTTGATGCCAATAATTTCATATCATCTTATCAGTATGGCTTTTGTACGAAAAAAACACTTCACAAATATTCCTTCCGATTGATCAGCATCAACTGGCAATGGAAAAACAGTTTCAATAACTGATTTGGCCAAAGCTTTTGATATTGTTTCTCATGGCAAAATACTCTTAATAGTTATGGTATTACAGGGGATCTGTTTAACAGGATATCAGATTTCATAAAAGATCTCCAGGCTGTATGTCAACAACATTCTTTCTGATATGATACCTGTTAAATCTGGCATTTCCCAAGGTAGTTGTATTGTGCCATTGCTTTTTTCATTATATATAATTAATATCATCAAAGTGGTACTAAATTCTACCATTTATCTTTATGCTGATGATTGTAAAATTTATTATTCTCATAGTAAAGCGGATAACCTATCTTAGGAGGCCTCAATAGAATAGCCAACTGGCTATATGACCGGCAAATTATCCTTTCTTTTCAAAAATGTAGAGTTCTTCATATCAGTTTTAAAGGATTCGACCTTGCTGATCTTTTTATTAATGGCAATATTAATTTAAGAAAGGTTTTCCTATTAAAATGTACAAAGCGTTCGTTTGGCCTCTTCTTGACTACAATACTGCCTGTTACTCCTTGACATATCACAAATCAAGTAAAATAATTGAAGGACTCCAAAAATATTTTATGCGCCTCTTATCTAATTATAAAATAAAATTTTAACAATACAATCTGGATCCTCTCTCATTTCGTCGAATTAAACAAGATTTAATTTATACTTATAAGACTCTGCACGGTTGTGTTAAACTAGATCGTTTAAAATATCGTAATTTTAGGCTATATTTGAATTCAACAAGAACCAATAGGCTAAAATTACTAAAATTTATGTGTAAAACTAAACTAAGGACTCATGACTTTTTTTTGAAAAAATTGGTCTTAACACGATTTTCTTGTTTCGGTGATGATTTCAGGACCCTTGGCGTAGAAACATCGTTTGATTTAAATATATTTCGTGGTGAGGGGGTTTTTTTTGAGCGATATTTTAAGCTTCGTTGTTATCAATTTAGTTCATTCCGTTTCATTAGTGGTTCTTTCTTGAAGAAGTTTTACAATTATTTTTTTCTAGTTTTCATCCATTCAAATTAGCCTTAAAAATTATTCAAAATTTCTTGAATAATAAAATTCGATGAAGGAGAGTTTTGATTTTCGAGCAGGAAGGACTGTCTTTAAAAGTACTTTGACAATACTAACAGCCAGCGGAACTGAATGACCGAGCTGGGAAGCTGGGAATAATGAAAATTGATTAACCATGGAATTTTTTTGCATAGTAATAAAAGAATTCCTTTAAAAAACTAAAATTTTTAAAGTAGAAATATTCTATATTTATAGTATATAATATTTTTTCCACCATTATTTCGGCTTACTGTTTGTATAATCCAATTTTTTTCAATTAATATTTATGCTGATGTACCATCCTCCTAATTTTTTATTAATTTGTTGGAGTGTCGAGCGAAATTTTCTAATGTTAGGTAGATTTTTATTTATTTATTTCCTCATTTATGTGTCGTTTTACAACTAGTTAATTTTCTCTCAAGTAAGTTTTTATTCTGTGATTCAATCTAAATTTAAATTAAATTTTTAAATTAAATTCTAAAATTTTGATTCTCCTTCAAATGAAATTTGTAGTTAACTAAGTGAAGAAATGGCTACAACGTTAACAGTGAAAGTTCATCCAGTTGTATATATGACAATTGTGTATTCATATGAAAGAAGATCAAATAAACCAGGAGCTAATGATAAAGCATTAGGAACTTTATTAGGATTTTATGAAAAGAATGCTATACAGGTTAGTTGTTGATACTTCCTTATTTTTCGTTTATTATATTTTATATTACTTTTAAGTCTTTCCACTATGTGCGTATGTATTTTATTGTAAGATTTTAGGCAAATAAATTGACTGATTTCATGCGATGGATGAAATTTAGAGAAAAATTGTAAAAAAAAAAATGAACATATCGACATAAAATTTTATAAAGTTTTTTTAACCTCTTTTAACTTCTCATAAATGGGATATTTTGTATCGAAGGACTATAAAGGTTTTAAGGTTACCAATTGTTACGCGATACCATTCAGTGAACAGAAAGAAGATACACCTGAATTGGACGACGGTTTCAATCAGTCGATGTTGCAAATGATGAAACGAGCCACACCATCAGAACAACCAGTTGGATGGTTGCTTTTTATTATTTATTTTTCAGACTACATTTTGTCAGATTTTTGATATAATTCATATCATTTATTTTAAAAATGAGATTTTTACATTCATTTCTATTTTATCATGACTATAAATTATAATATAAAAGCAAAGAAAAATGGCATTCCGGATGTTACTGAAAAAGATTATTTAATTAATATTTTTAGGTTCTATACAAATGCTGATCTGTCGGCACATTGCCTTCCTTATCATGACTATTATAATAGATTGATTAGCGAATCATCGGCAAAAAAAGATCCACCACCAGTGGTACTATTGACACTTGATACGACTTTTAGCACAGTTGAGGAAAATACGAGAATGCCTGTCCGTGCTTACATCAGGTTAATTTTTATGCATTTTATGTTATCCTTCTATAAAGTCCGATGATTTATAATTTATTATTCTTTAGAACGAAAGCTGGTATCCCTGGCAGTCGAGATCCTCATTGTGCGATGTTCAATCCACTGAAAGTTGAAATGGATGCTTTTCCTGGTGAAATCGTCGCCTTAAGACTAATTCATTCTGGAACTACTGATAAGCAACGCGAAGTAAGATTGGAAAATGGAGTTCGACATCTGGAGAAAAGTACAGGAGAAATGGTTGCATATCTTCAGCGACTGCTGAAATATGTGAATGAGGTAATATCAATTTATATCTTCTTCTAACACCATTACTACCGTTCGAAACGATACCATCGGTAATAGAAGCCATTCCCTTTTCCATCATCTAAATCTATATATTGCTGGTCCCCCTACATGTTCAAAATTTTTCCTGAGTATACCAATCCAGGTCTTGATTGGCCTTTCGCTCTGACGCCATTCATCACAGACTTTAGCAAGTTAAGAAGTATGTGTCCTTCTTGGGGCCGGAGATTAGGAAATTATTTTTTTTAGAGTAATTTAGAGTAGAATTTCAATAAAAAGGGAAAATAAAGCATGTTTTCAATTTTAGGTTTTGCAGCAACCTGAACTTCCTGTTGATTCATCGATGGGACGTCGGATAATGGACATCGTTACAGCGACGGCTACTCATTTGTCTGAAGAACGATTGGAGAACCTTGTCAAGAATAGCCTTAGGGTATAGTTTTCTTTTCCTTGTCAGTGCCTTCTTTGGCTTATGAAACCCAAACTTTTTTCTAAAAGCTTTTCTAATTAGTATTGCTCTGTTAGCTGGCTTATCAGACTAGACAACATGTCCATTTTTTGAGAATATTGACACCTCGAAATGGTAACAATAATCCACATTTGATGAGCCTTCTAACATAAAGTATAGTTTCATAGTTATCATGCTAAAAAAGAGGTTCCATCTTCAGTTGCTCACAGGCATGGGGCGGGCAGTGGATGATGGCTTGTCCGTTGAAAGGTAAAAAATCTATTAGTAATCTTGAATGTTTCTGGTGACTTGTGTTTTTAGCAAAATAGTTACTTGGTAAATGTTTTTAATCATACGGATAACCAGTGGAGTTGGCCTTATCAAAAAGAATGAGCATTTACTTATACAGAAAAGAAAGATCTTAGAAAAGATCTTTTTAGGATTATGTGATGATATCATACTTGTCTGGACTGACGAAAACGCAACTTGCCATACAAGAACGCTTGGTGGCCCTATAAAAGATTCTCTCAGCCATTGAAATTACGTTCTTATCGGTTAAGAGCGTTATGCATATAATGCATTGCAAACTAATGGCTTGTGAAGATTTCACTGGTTTATTCACATTAATTAATTCATATTAATTTATAATTTTAATCGTAATTACATTTAAACGTTATTTTTTTGCATGTTTGCACAGGTTATCTGATTAATTGGCTGAAATTGTGCTGAAACCATTATATTTTCAGATAAAGTGCTAGATGAATTAATGAATTACTAATAATAAAAGAAGCATAAATTTATTCACTGATGTTTAAATATAAATTTGAAAATAAATATCACCTAGCCGATCTTCACCATGAATTGGAAAAAAGTCCACTGAACCAGCTTAAATCGTTTTCCCAAATTTTTTTTCCTGATTATTAAGGCATTATTAGGTCATTATGGCATTCTTCTTCGTCGCTTTCGCATTATTGCAATTACAGTGGTCATTGCACTTTCAGTTATTGCATTTGCAATGGTTATAATGCATATAATGCATTTTCTCGTTTCATTTGCAGTAGTTACTGGAAACTGGAAGTAGTTACTGCACTTTCTCGGAAGAAATGGTGCTTAAGCTTCAAACCTGTTACACAAGGATATCTGATGGGTCATCCACGAAAACAATGTCATCAAAAAACCCACCAAAGATAATATTTAGATAGGAATTTTACCCAATTTATTTAATTGAAAATTCGCAAACGATTGTTATAAATTTACTGAGATGAAGATGGTTTCAGAGAATTTATTTCTGTAAATATGCCGGAAAAAGCTTTCAACACCTCTTGCTTAATTTATTAATTTATTTCTTTTAAGAAAATAATCGAATCGATATGACCGACAAAAAATTCCAATCAATTAATTCAAATAAAAACAAGAAACGATAAATATTATTGCAGCCACTATAAGACGACTAAAAAAAGAAATAAAAATATCTAGCTGCAGCGAGAAACACCTCGCTTTTTGATACGACAGTTACTTTAACTCTGCAATTACGAAGCAAAAATAAAGAACACAGGTAAAATAGGTAAAAAATTTACTTCCCCTCTAGGTTTAAAAAATTGGGAATAATCTGAAAAGAATGAGATATAAGGGTTCTTCATATTTGTTCAGTCTATCGAATTGTGTAAAACTGCAGAGTTCAAATAGATAATTTCGAAACAGTGGTCCTTTATTTGAGTTAGTAACTCAGAAGATCCATCAAACATGGAATACGGAATCTATATCAAATCCATCAATATACTGATACATCGGTCAGTGAATCCACATCAGATTTCATTTTCCCCTATGGTTGGGATTTGGCATCTCAGGAATTTAGCGAGAAATATATTTTTTATGCTACAATATAAGCGATATAATAATATATCTGCCAATGAAGCAGTAATTAATTGACGATTAAATGGATGGGAATCAACTGCTTCATATGTGAAGAAACCATACATAATTATTTTTTTTTCTATGAGAATTCTACGATGAGAAAATGAAAGAATTTTATATTAATCAACAAATGCTATATCGCATGGACGTAGCAATCCGGCCGAGTAACTGAGTCTTTTACTTCAACGATTATTTATATAGAGGAAAACCTTCAGTGACCTTCCTCTGTGGAGACGTGCATTCATAACCATATTTTTGAAAAGGACAGATATTCAAAAAATACTTAATGAAAAAGCAAAAAGTTCAAGACCACTGTTTCGAAAATATTAATATTATTATGAGCAATAATAGCAATAATATACCCAAAAGTACTTTCTTACCCGTCATTAGCAAGATTTTCCAAGCCATCTTGTACCTTCAGCAACTTTTTTAATTTTTTTCGATAAATCACTTTTCTAAGAAAAAATCTTTCAGGAAATAAGAGTAAAAACCCAAATTCATAAAACATATTACTTCTAATTTACCAAAAGCCAATAGCCATAAAAAATCATCCTTGAAATTTTTTTTCCAAATTTTTATCTTTTTTATTTTAAATTGTTCATTTTAAGTTTTTGAAAATTTTTTCAAAAATTCATGATTACTTTTAGGATTAAATCTAAGATTAAGCCTTAAGTTTAAAGTTTTCAATAAATATTTTTTAAATATTCGACAGTTCTAAAAGAATGCAAATGGTACCTCTTTCATATGATAATCAAACGCTTCACGAATATGAGATTGAAAATTGAATTTTTTGCATTTGTTTTTTTCAAAACCTTGATTTTCATTTTCTGCGATTAATTTTTCTGGAAAACTTAGGCATATAAAAAATCAAATAAATAAGCTACAAAACCTTTCATACGCAATCTAGGTTTTAAGGAATGAATAGGTGGGAATAAGCCTGCCATTAAAAATCAAATATAGGTAATGGTAAGAATTCTTCTCTCCTACATTGGTGGCTTTCTGGCAAATGGACCTCGTCCTAATATCATTTAAATCAACTAAATCAGAAATGGTGGGTGCTGTTAGAAGAAAAAATGAATCACCGATTTCCACTTTTTTGAAGTGCTCTTTTGGACAATAGTGGTTTATCCATGCAATCTGACTCCCAAATATTTGCCCACATTCCACACATAATTCACTTGCATTTTTATCATTAGCTTCTTCAACTTGCAACACTGTAAAAGATTCAAATAATATGAAATTATTCAATTTGTATTAAAAAATAAACGATTAAGAAAAAATTTTGGAGAAAGCACAAAAGTGATCAAGTGATTAAACAAAAAAAAATAACTAGAGGAAATCAGAATGAAAATATAGCCGAAAACTTGAAAAAAAAATCAACTATAATTATTACGAAAAATTATATCTATATCTGTATATAAATCGAAATAAACAATGATTTACTTACTATGATTCTTTTGCAGTGTAATTTCTCTATTAAAAGAACTGGTTTCAATGATTTCGACAATTTTATCTATTATTGGATTAGGCTGCAAAAAATAAAATGGCTCGAATTCATGTCCAAAATGATTTACTTGAGACGTGACAGCAACAGTACTAAAAATTTCTTCCTTTGAAATTTCTAAGGGCATTAGTAAAATCATATTGGTCCAAGAAAAATACCTTCGCAGGAAAGCCAGTTTTTAATAAATTTTTTGTGATATTTTCAAAATAAACAAATAAAAATTTAAATAAATAAATAAATAAAAACTTTTCTCAATTTTAATTCTATTTTGAAAATAATCACTAACCCATCTTCGTTATAATGCACATTGATATATGCTGGACAGGTCGCTCCGATTTTTACAGACTCGCGCATCCTAATCGGCTGAATTTGAGTATTTCGTCTAAAAAAAATTAAGCATATATTAAACATATCATTTAAATTTCAAATTATTAATTAATCAATGATCGAAAGGCGAAAATTGAAAAAACAAAAGTATTATTCTTAGCAAAAAAATTGAAAATTTTAAAGATATAAAATAAAGACTTATTGAAATGGTAAAATATGCAAAAGAAATATAATATTCAAATATGGAAAAAAAATTTTTTAAAATCAATAGTGTTAGTTTTATATACAATTATATGCTACTTGCGACGCGGTTTTCCAGAATAGCGACAGTATAATCTCACTGTTCGATTCGAGCTATTGGTTTTATGCAAACCAGAACCACAGATAAACTTTACACTACTAAAAGATTCCATTTCTTTTTTCCAAACCTGAATAAAAATTTAAAAAGCACCATATGAATAACTAAAAACTCAAACAGAAATTTAAAAGTTAGAATAAATATGCATACAAAATATAAAATATGCATAAATAAAAATAAGCATTAAAAAAAAATAAGAAATAAAAAAACCTGAAAAGATCCATCGCTATTAAATATATCATTGACATACTGAGGAATAAACATGTGATGGGCTTTAAGATGATCGACAAGATTTGCTATCTTTGTAGATTTTTCATTGCATCCATCCGCAGGACAACAAAGAGTTTTCTAATTTAGTAAATTACAAATCAATTAAACAATAAATTTATTAGTTGGTTCGAAAAAAAAATGACCTTAACGACGTCGTGAACTCTTCGTCGATGGCTCCTTAATGAGGACTCACTTATAAACAGACCACCACATTCGGGGCAGCATTTCTGACCAGATGACATTAGATCGACCAATATATCCAAAATTTACCTGAAGAAAACACATAAGAAGCAATATTTGGAGAACATATTTGATGATATTCTTGGGATCTCTGAGATCTCTGAGAGAAGTCTCTGAAAAATAAACCCACTCGATCTACACTTAAAATAATATGGCAGAGATGCTCGAACTGAATTTTCTCATATTACTTATTAGAATAACTGAACTGAAATTGATCCTTGAAAATTCTTGATTTCCTGAATTTGCTGCTTTTGAAATAAATGGAATGTCTGATTAAGATTATTTGAATTTTCAAACATTCCACTAGAATGTATAAAATTATTCGTCAAAAAATGAAAAAGAATACCAACTTTGCAACGAACTAACTACGACACGACTGTAGACCACTGACGGAAGCTTATCATTTTCCATGCAAAAAATCACCCATAGTTGACGACTATAGACGTGAAAACGTGGAAACAAAAAAATCACGCAAACTACGCACAAGAGACATATGCTAAGATTCTATCGATTCGCCTACCACCGAAAAATTTTATATCCTTGAAAGAATAGTTATAGTGAGAGTTGATTCGCGGCTGCGGTGCCAAATTAGCACGGCCCTCCTGGCTCTGTTCACTGCCACGGCCAGTGAGCTTCAAACCATACCACACCTTTAAAAGAATCAGCGGACATTTTCGGTTAACGGGACTCTGATTCGTGCAGGACAGTTTAGGTCAGTTTTGGCGACTTGTTTTATCAGTCAGAGTGGCGTGTAATATAAGGGAGCTTAATAAGATATCACTAGCTGCTTTTAAAAAGAGGTTTTGATTTGATAGGATATGAAATAGTGAGAGAATCTTTGCGGATGGCGGCTACAAAAGGTTCTAAAGAATTTATCAATCAAAGAACTGCAGTGAAGACGTCTAAAAGATTAGTCATCGTTGTGGATTACTTTGTCAGCAAAGAAGGTAGTTGAAGGCAATCTGATTGATAGGATGTGAGCAAAAGAGTGCAGCAGAAGGCACGAAAAGAGATTTCCAGTAGATAAAATTCTTCAGCTCCGTTTTTCAATTCTACACTTTCGGTCTTCGTAATTTAATTTAATCTCTGCCTGCCCCGCGGAATTTCTTCAACTCTTCGAAAACTGCAGCTAGGCGTCCCCTTTAAAATTGTTCATTGCGAGTTGTTTGACAGAACGCAGAGGGCCTCAAACTTGGGTAATTGAACCTTTGTTTATTGCAAATGGTATAAAGAAAACTCTATATACAAATCTAAAAATAGGTATGCGTTAGATGCAAATGTTCCTTAAGCTAATGTGGTTCCACAGATCCTTAAGTTGTTGATGAAATGACTTGAAAGATTTCGGAGATTAGGCATGATCTTACTTACAGATTAGGGTGGCTTGCAGGAATGCTAGCGGAAACAAACCGGGCTTACGAGCAAGAGGTGTTGCGATATGACTTTAATTATTATTCAGTTGCAAAAAATAAATTTTGAGAAAACTTTAATTCATTCTTCTCTTCTCTTTGCCCATTTTAATTTCATCTGCAACTGACTGTAAATGACAAATTTTGAAGTCATTGGCGAATGTTCGGATCAACACGTCATGTTCTGCTGAAATGAAGATGAATTTGGCCAAAATTTGTTGTTGTAAAATGGAATCGTTATTAATTAATTTGGGGATTATGCATTAATAGCATATAGTACTGATAAGACCACATTGTTCATCACCATATCAGTAATGAAGGTGTGCAGTGGTTCAGTGGCTTGTTGCTCTTATTTCGAGGCACCAATACTGGGCTTCTGTTCTTGATGATTGTAAAAACTGCCTACACTTCTGCCGAAATCGGTTCTCTGGCAAAATTTGTCTGATCTGACAAGCCAGATATGGTGATGCTTAGAAAAAAAAAATACATTTTATCTTTCATATAAAGCAAGCTCGAATTTTAATGAAAATTTTACTGGAAATTTCAGAGATCATGTCGAGCTTGACTTACAAATGAACTTTTGGCTATAACAATTTAAAATTAACATCATTCGCTCAAATAACTGCCTATGGCGATGACGAATCACGAACTATCAAGTTTCATTTGGCTTGATTCGTTTAGCTATTCATTTATTACTTTATTTACTACGAATAAACTCAACTCAAAAGTGAGTAAGCAGCGAATTTTATTGCGATAAAGCAATAGTGGTAATGTTATCAACGATCCTCAAATGACGATTTTCAATGATTTGAATGCTAAAGAACCAAGAAGAGCTAAGAATATTTGCAACAGTTGCAAAATGGAAATAAAACAGTTAACGACATTAGGAAAAAGTGAAATATTTAATAAATATTGCATTAAATAGCTGCAAATATACAAATAAGTATTGGTAAATTAATCAAAGATGACCGAAATTTTATCATGGATGGCCCTATTTAAGTTAACGATGAAATATCTCGCGGTTATCAAACAGAAAATATTTTATCGCAAAAAAAACATCTCCATTTCGTCAAAAATATTTCATTAGTTTGATTTAGTGATAATAATTTCAAATAATTTTTGGAAATATAATTCATATGACCCTCGCGGTCAACATTTCCACCTATAAATTAGCATTAAACAGAATGGTTTGAGGGAGGTTTATAAATATACGCACGACTGTAATTTCCATGTTAATTGTACAAGCCAGGTTAGCGCTCATCATTTCCGTTATGCTGGTTGTCATGCTGTTAGTCAATCGTTTGAGCAGAAATGGGTCGTCAGCATCATCCGCATAACTGTAATAGCTGCAATTTCTTATTTCCGCTGGCATTCTCTCACTTCGACCACTTTCTTGCAGTTATCTTCATTTTATTAAAAAATTTTGTGAACATTTTTCGCAAATTTGTTGGAATAATACTTATTTGATCAGAACTTCCTTGAAAAATATTTTAACTGCTAAAAAAGTCATGAAATCGCGATTTAGCATTAACCGATCTTCTTTTGCCGTGGGCATTTTAGTTAAGTGCAGAGAAGATTCCATTACTCGGGTTTTTAAATGGCAGTTTTTCTCCTCCTAAGAGAGAAAGGATGTTGACCAGGATGCTTGAAATGGAATCTAAGGTAAATGTTTTTCTCGCCACGGAACACTTCGCAAATTACAATATGCTTGCGAGGCACTTAAATTGGATTTATGCTTATTCGGCTATAAAACAGAAAAATATTGTTTATTTATTTATGCAAAATCAAATAAAAAAACCAATAATTATTGTTTACCTTCAAATAAATATTTATAAAAATACAAGCAATCAGTAATAAAAAAAAATTATTTAACAACCAATCAATCATATTTTTGAGAGAAAAAACGAAAATAAGATCCATGTTTTTTCTGGGCCTTTAAATCGCAAATTTTGGTATAAGGCACGACATTAGACAATCCCAGGTCAAATCTCATTAAACTTATTCTTATATTTGCAGACTTCGCATAATATGGAGATAACAGCTCGAATGAGCGATAAAGACTGTTCGCTCACTCACGCTCACTTCGCAAGAAACCAGGAATCTCCGTATAGTAGTCCAAGGATAAAAATCTTGTTAGGATTATCAAAGCTACTTGATGGGATAGGCGATAGGTCATCTAGCCCGGGTATAACTGGAACGCATTCAGAGCCAAACGACTGCATTTACGAATCACCAACGAAACACGATAATTCACGATAATCTCTGCAATTCACAAGCTTAAATCAACAAAATCGCATTCAAATACTGATCAGCATCCTTCACACCACCTACCGAGATTATGTTCATCAATGTTCATTGGGGGGAGCAAATGCCATGTGGCTGGAGCAGTTCTGCTCCCAGCATACAGGATAAAATTATAGGATGCGCTACGAAACTCGAATCAGCTGGTTGTAAGGGTATTGGAACAACGCATCATCCTATCGTTATATACCTCATCATCTTTATTGCTGCCTTTGATTCAATCAGCCGGTGGTCTGGTAAATCATGAAACATGATGGTGTTCTGGAAAAGACTTAATCAGAAGTTAATCAGAGCAGCTTATTTTTTATCAGTGTTAGGGCAGGTGTATACGAAGAATTGACAACTTTTTGAAACACAAATTGTATTAAGCGTGCATTCTGTGCCAATTTTCACGCGATAAATTAGGTTCAGAGCATAATATCACAGACCTTGAATACTCTGATGATTTTTTTGCTGGCATTCAGAAGTTCAACGGACACTAGACTGGGTGTCGACAGTAAAACTTAGAAAACTTGCCTTAAAATTATATAAGAGAAAACTCTTTTCGTCTTTACCAGATCGCAATTCAAATAAATCCATCAACGGTGGAAGAATTTTAATTATCTTAGATTTACCCTCATACCTAATGGCCATGCGATACACAAAATTCCAGCTTCGATAGCTACAGCCAGAAGTGCTTTCTTTTGTCTGGCGTCCTTTCTAGAATCTCTTCGAAATCAACCTCAAAATAAAATATCTGGCTGGTATAATCCTGCGAAATTTACTCAGTGAGAGAAGATTCAGGAAATTAACTACTTTTGAATATTTTTATCTAAGATACAAAAATTTGCGCAGATCTCGCTGCTTGCTAAATCTTGGAAAGCACAGCATCAAATCTTCGAAGGCCAAGCAGGACTTGAATGGATATGGCCAGAAGAGATTTTGAACCAATAGAGCGGGCTGTAGAAAAAGGAAAAGCAAAAAAGCAAATGCTTCATTCTTCATGGAGCAAACCAGCAATATTACGGACTACTAGAAGGAAGAACATATGGGAGTACTGCTGTAGACTTTGCATTGCTGAGTAATCGCTTGTTTCAGGTTGCCAAAATAATTTGGGCTATACTGGATGGCACTGCTTTATCAATTGAATATATTAATATTACAGTTCAACGATTTTTTCATTTATGAATGTGGCCAATTCAGCGCGACATCCACAGTTTTTGCTATTCGCTATTTCAATAGAATTAAATGTCCCATGATCAAGAATGTCCCATGCTGTTTGAGAAAATAAGATGATAGAAGATTCGAAAAACAGAAAAAAATAAGAAATTTAAAAATTTTCTTTTTTTAAAATTATGATTTTTTTTTAGAGAGAATGGAGAGTAATTTTAAAAACATTGAAAAAATATTCTTAAATTTTCAAAGATTTTATTCCTATTTTATTTGCAAAAACATTTAAATTTAATAATAAATTTTTTACAAAGTTCTTTCAGAAATTTCATGAAAAAACTGAAAATAGAAAAGTGATTCATTGTTTCATGAATTTTCATTATCATTAAACATCTAAAAAAAATTATTATTATCAATATAAAAATAATTATGAAAAATATGCCAATTGACGATTTTGGTAAGAAATACGGTCCGACCTTTACCACTGCCAAATTTCATTTTTAACGATAGCTACTACATTTTATTAAGAGAATAGCAGTGGAACCACTAATAAATTGCATGATTTAGTCGAAGCAAGATTACCCCTCATTCGCCATTCGTTGCTCTGATAATGAGATACGGTTGCAACAAACAATTCTTTTAATCGGCTTAATCGGCTTTCTGATAAATGATTGTTAACTTTGAATTTATCGGAAATAATACATAAATTTATTATAGCAAAACACATGATATAATTCTCTAATAATTCTCTATTATTTTAAAGTTTATTGATTTTTTAATTTAAAATTATTTGGTTTAATTTACGGATGGTACTTGTAGGCGATGGTGATTTCACCGATGCCATATTTTGCCTATCAATCGGATATTTAAAGTGCTTGTGAAATTCCTCGAATTTCCGTCGAATCGTTTTAAAAGAAATTTTGACAATTATATTCTTACCGAGTTATGTACTGTATTAAATTGGGCATTAGGATTCGACATCGTAATTGTTCCTTTATTTCATTCTTAAATATTTTTGCTCTTCAGTGATTCTCCATTTCGTGACTCTTTCATTTTCTCTCCTCTTTGTTCATCTTGAATCGTGAACTGTTTAACTGGCCATTCCTCGTTATAAGGTCCACCAAGTCCTCTTGTTTGATATTCATCAGAAACTGTTTTTTATATTATGAAGCTTTTTCAAAATCTCTGCTGGAGATTTTCAATTAAACAGGCTGGAACGAAACATTTCCCTTTTGCATTGTAGTTAAAACTTTTCATTAATTTCGCCATTTTCCTGAAAATTGCTGGTTGATTAGTCCGATATTTACTTATCTTTTTAGTTCAGCTTGGCCATCACGTAATGAATAATGAACTCAATTAATACCATGCAAGCGTTCGATCTTCGTCTTTGACATGGCTGGAGTTGATCCTCGACTGCTTGGTCTGTTTCTTGTCATCATCACTATTGATAGCGATGGTGAAAAGGTTGGTAACTGTCGAGTTGAAAATGGTCGAGTTGAAAGTTCCTCGAAGATAATCGAGTGGAAAGGGGAAACTCAAAAGAAAAGGTAAATCGTACGAATAAATTGAAAAATCACATTTTCTAAATTTTGAAAAGTTCTGAAAAAAATGCTAGGTAAAATCACCTTAGCGATAATAATTGGATAGAAGGCCGATTGCATCGACGATATAACTATGTATTTTTATTTTTTAATTTTACGACAGCCAATTTAAAATCGACTATAGCATTGTATTATTGGACCTTCCGAACCTTATCAGGCTCAATTCTTTCTTTTAGGCATCTTTTTCCAGGAAAATTTTTATTTGTTTCGTAAAATGCATGGACAAGCGAAGGTGAGGAAGGCTGAAGCTCGTAATCACAGTGGGTTACCCGATAACCTTAATTACTAGCTTCGCATCAACTGAACTTCGGTTAGCATTAGACGCGATTCGGATTGTGCCTGCAGAGCTCGTTACTCTGCTGGATAATACTTGCAGAAGTTCGACCGAGTCATATTTGAACTTCATTTTGATTGAGTAAATAAAATGGCTTATTATCTTCTAAACTTTTAGTAAAACACCTTATCATTTTGACAGATTTGGTGAAATGTGGTGTTTTGGACAAAATTGTGGAAAAAAATTTAATTTCATGTGCATTTATTTTTGGTGTAAATTTTGGTGTAAATTTAATGTATTTTAGGATGGAAGAAAAATATTTTTCTGATAAATTTATCGAAAATTGTTTGAATTTTGGATGTTAGAATATTCTAAAATATCCTATAAGAATACTTTTAGTATCCTAAAAGAATGGCAGAATTTTAATTTAATCACATCACATTGTTATTTCGTACTTTCTGTACTTTAAAATGACAAATCTTAGAAGGCAATCAGCGATTAGTGATTTTCTGAAGCGATTGCATTATCTTGGAGGCTTTGAAAATATTTTTTAAAATTCCAAAATTCTCGCATTCGCTGAATTCAACCAAGGCTGCTAGGAAGGGAACACAACCAGTTTTTAAACTATTTCGATAATCAGCTTTCTTTCTAGAATTGTTTTTGTAAGAGGGCGATTTGGCGATACTGCAATTCGCTGAAAAGCAGCATTCATTTGGCCTTATTTGTTGAGATTTTTACTTCGTTTAAGTAATCCTAAGGGATATGCACTTCCAGTTTTATATGTCTTATTGCATAGTGGTGGGTATGTTTAAGTTTCCTTTAGCAATACAATACTTTAATTTGTATCACTATTTACGTATTAGTTTTTTCTTTAGGTGCAAGACTAGTACCATGAGCAAAAAAATATTGAACAAGGCTACTGCGAAAGGTTGAAAAAGGTGTCTAAAGAAGAAAATGCGGCAAAGTGCTAATTGCACAAAATTATTTTGAAACCAACTTGATGAAATCAAGATGAAAACGACATGCATTTGGTGCATATCAAAAATATGAAAACTAAAGCTTAAAAATCCCATTCTTTTTCCTTTAGTAGCGTGAACCATTGCTTCAGCTCCACTGATGACTACGGCAAGACGTTCCCAAGCCGATCGATCCAATGCCGATCCTGAAAGTAATTGAAGCCACTTCTTTTTTTACCGCCTAAGCCCCTATGGTCTGAATTTATGTGGTGAGACGATCCTTGGTAGTCTCAAGGGAATTATGAATGTTTCACTGACCATTTCTCGATTCTCTGTTGGTTTATGAAGAAAGTTTTCTATTTTACTCGAGCTTTCCTCTTTATATTCAAAACTACACCATTGTAGGGCCGATTTTTTCCCCGTCTCGCTACAACTATTTTAGTGTACGCCTAGTCTACGGAGCCTCCGGTACTGAGCATCTTCTGACACTCTGGCACTATTTTATCGAAGACCAAGTTTACCTTCATCCATCCCAACGCGGATTGAGCTGACTTCTGAAAACAGGACTTCAACTCCTCGGCAATTCCAGAGACGTTAAGGTTACTTTAAGGATCCTTTAGGTTTTTCAGCATGGCATTTTTCGTGATATTAAACTCGGCTCAAATATATCTTTATCCAGATCTTCCTTGCGAAACTTGGCAGAATGAAATGTAAAACCGTCCTTAAAGCGGGCATAAACCAACTTGCCATTAATAATGCTCCATGCGATTAGAGCTGACCGTGCCCTCTCGAATATGGCTCTATTTCCCTCTGAGTTGTCGGAAAACTCACTCTGATACATTCAGCTGTTCTCATTCAAAACAGGTGTAGTCACTGCTTGGGACTCAATCCACATTTGGCCAGGGCTTGGATGGCCACTGTTTTGCTCTCTATATCCATAAGCGTTTTGATGCTCCAAGCACCTATGGCCAAGACCTCGCCATGTAAATAAAACTGACTGATATTTGTCCGACTTCCTTAGAGGGGATAAATCAATCAATATTGCTATGTCCAAGCCCAGACATGACACGGCTTGCGACTTTAAAATCATTGAAGATTAGCGGAAAAAAAAATTTCGAAGTGATCTATTATCATCGGCTTGACTTGTCTCTTTAATCAAAAATCCAATGGTTTCATTACGAGAGTTCGAGAGTTCCGAGCGTTCCAAGTGCACTGCACCGCCTGAATGCGCTGCACATTTGGTCAGTCTCGAAAAACGAAAAATGAAATATGATTTAAGCATCCACGAAGATTCCCGTGAAATCTTCATAACTTTTTGTAAGTCGCAATATTAATAATAATTAATAATAATAATTAATGATAATTAATAATAATAAAAAATAATGATAATAATAAATAATAATATAATAATAATAATAAAGTAATAATAATAATATTATCAGTAAAATTAGTTATCAGTAGTTGATTGATTCGATTAAAGAATTTATTTAAGGAAAACTATGCTAAGAGAAATGCAAAAAACTCAAATAATTTTCGTTTTTTATTTAATTTTCGATTATTCGAATTGTTTATTTAAAAAAACTATTTTATAAATTATTCCCTTTATTAATTTCTTTGAATATTTAACAAATATTTTAATATTCTATAATTTTATTGCCATAAAAGTTTTTAAACGGACGTGAACCGCGAGAAAGACGTCAAAATTGTAGAAAAAAACTGTCGGAAAACACAGCAGGGAATTGAGATATTCCAGTGAAAAAAGGGCCTATGGTGTTTCTTCGTGTCGACTTTTCTCTTTTCTCTCTTTCTCTCTCTCATTCTCTCACTCATTATTTGTCTAGTAGCTTGCACACTCCCGGCACATCACTGTCACCGTGGACCACCGATAGTCAGATTCTCCGCACTTCCGTTATCTATTCCCATTTTCGCTTTCTCTAATGAAAACATCTTGTCCAGCATAAATTATCGATCCATTGTTACCTTTTGCCTGTTCAGCGTCTCTTGTGTATTGTTTAAAATATAATTGTTTTTTCCATTTTTTATCTTTTCGTTTGTTAAAATTTATCGATTTTCCAAGAGTTATCTCAGTTTTTTTCTAAAATATTAATTTTCCACTCAAAATTTTTTAAGGAAATATTTGCATATTTTGATTAAATTATAAGTCATTTCGCATGAATAAGAGAGAAAAGATCGGTTGAAGATGCGTTTAATCGACGATGAATTTATGAATTGTGAATAAAAGTGTATGGTGCGAAATGAGAGACGTACGTCTACGTGACATTTCCGTGACATGCGCGTGACATCCACGTAGCCAGGGCGGGAGTGGTGCTATGGCGTGGGCAAGACCTGTGGCGCTATGCTCGCGACTCACTTCCTGCATGCCTAATTCACTGCCTGTGCCATCCTCATTTTCGAAAGGATCTGTCGGTTCCTCACACGTAGAAAGCTGTTCCGATGTGAAAAAAGATAAAGTGCTTTTGCGAGTCGATTGATCTGCTCTGGAAGACCGTCGTGTTCCATCACTTTTGATCCAGGCTAGCGCTTTATCGGCAAAGTCGCTACAACGAATGGGCTTGGCTAGCTTGGCCATCTGACTATCTCTCACTGCCATAAGTTTCTTCAGCAGAAGGGGTTTTCTGTGCGATATCCACTAAACTAATTCTTCATTAGTTCATCTTTCACCATTCGTAGAGACTGGAAATAGGATTATTTCATTCCAGTGATCTAATGGCAGTTTTTTCTTCCATATCAGAGACATTCGTTGAAGATGAGTTGTGAAGGACGTTGAAAAGTTTAGTCCATCAAGAAGACCATCTTCGAGACCACTTTCATTGGTCTTAGGCTTCTGGATCCCGTTGAAGATCCGCCAATGTGTGGCCTCACGAGCGTCTCAGCCGAATGGCAGCCATTGTCGTTAAGTTTAATTGCAAAGACCTCTCTATGAGGTACTCTTTGGTAGCCCTAACAGGCACTCCAACATTTTCTTGGTTCATGTCATTGCCGTTTCCCAAATTATGGTTGCTTCATGAAAAAGGCCGAGTAGTTTCCCTAAACCAGCGACCCTCTCCATTTTTTTAGGACCATATCACTCCAGTAACGGTTTCGTCGTGCCGGTGTGCTTTCAAAGCATTCGAAGGGTAGAATCTGCTGACATACTTTAGCAATTTTTTCGGTTAGTTGGACATTATTTCCCAATCCGACTTTAGCATTTTTTTCCGATAGTTGGACCATTATTTCCCTCCACAACATATTTGGCATATGGTAGTGAATTTGGTCGACTTACTGAGATAACACCTTTAATTGAGGCCAGTATTTACCGGCCATTTTAGGGATGTTGTTGATTTATATCTTTGAGATGTTTCGATTGCCTATCACTATATCTTTTGGCTTGAGGGTTTTTTCGAGCTATCAATTCCATGATGATCTTGGCTGGAACCTCAATATGGTCTGGTCCATGAAAGTCAGTTTTGTGCTCAGTTTTGAGTATAATTGATGTTTTCAAAATTATCTTTTCCTTGGATCTATTGGCACTTATTTTTATTTTTTTATTCTAAAGAATTTAAAAAAGCATTTTTAAAGAAATTATTAAATTTTTTTTCTTATGGGAAAGTAAAAGATGATAGGTTATTCTATATATTTTTTCTATTGTTTGTGATAGTTCATATTTGTTTTAGAAATCTTTTTATCATTTTTAATTTAGCAGAGTTAACAATTTTAGTGCAATCACAAATTTATTTAACAAAATTATACCAGTAATTTCTTCTATTTTATCAGCCTTTAACTGGTTTATCCACAAAAACTGATTTTTAGTGGTATTTACTTTCTTATCATTTGGCAAGGCGCCAAAATTGATTTGTGTATTTTTTTTCATTCATTTTTTAAAGTATAATTTTGCATATTAAAAGAATCTTTGTTTATGATAATTTGAATTAGATTAGCACTTTTAGCGCAATTTTTTGGAAAAATGGTTTTTGAATGATTTTTTGGAAATTATTAGTGGTAAATTTTGTACTATTTCTCAGAAAAATATTTATCATTATTGGTTTATCATTTTTTATTTATTTCGATGAGGAATTCGATTACTGATTTAAATGATAGTTAATTTTTTCAAGTATAATTTTTTTTGCTTCTTGTATCGGTTTTATTCAAAATTATAGAAGGTAAAATTTAATGCCCTTATTGGTGGCCTATCGCTCGTTGGGTGCCAAGTATTCGATGAAGATTAATTTAATTATGTTAAAATTATTAGATGTTAAGGTTATTAGAGATCATTGTTTTTGGTTTGTTTTTTATTTAATTCTTAATTTACTAATTTAATTCTTTGTTATCCTTACGTATTACTTATTTATTTTCATATTGCTCTTTAAATGATAAAAGTGATCATATATTAAGACTATGTTAATATTATTGGAAATTTTCCGATTTTTGGAAAGTTATTACTAAAAACGTAGAAGGGAAGAAAAAAGTTTGGTAGTTGATCACTCCGATGAAAATTGCCAGAAAGTTTCTTTAGAAAACTGGTCAGGCCAGTTTTTGCTCGGATTTCATTATGCATTTGGTTTGTTCAGTTATCCATCAGTTTTTAAGATTACTTTTTCCTCTTTATTCACCATACTTATCTAAACATGAATTCTGTTAATAATTAAAATGATCATTGATAGTCGAACATTTGATGAATGCTAAGTGTTCGATCAAGATTCATCTAATTATTAAAATCATTAGATGTTGAGGATAATGTTTTCTTAGAAATTATACAATTTTGACCTGAGATTTTTTAAAATTCTCCAGTGGAAAGTTATATATTAATGAAGAAAGAATTTTACTTGGTATATTGTATATTGCTTTATCTAAGATAAGTGTAGATTCGATGCCTTGATGATTTATGATTTAAAATCATTAAAATCCTATTGGAACTGGATCTAGATGTCCAAATGACTCTCTGGAGTAAGGGTGAACTTTTTGGCTTCTCTGGGCTGCATTAGGTGAATAATTGAAGAGCAATTGTCTTGCGATAAAATACATCGTATAGTTAAATAAAAGATGAAAAAACAAGTAAAAAATTCCATTTTCCTTTATATTTTTTATAAAAGAGGACAATATAAAAATAATGGAATGTTTGACCTTGTTTTTTTAAGGCAGATACATCTGGTTCCATCGAACCAGTTGCTTTTTCAGTGCGTTATCAGGTTTGTGACGAGTCGCATTACCAGTTTTCTGGCGCCAGGGGTTGAACATCCCTACATTGGATAAAGAATGTCGCCGTTCGCTATAACCATCGGTGGCTTGGTGGCAAGGTAATGGGCATAGAGAATCGAGGCTTGAGTTCGAATCGGCCGCCGTACCACTCTTGGTAGAACGGCGTTGTTGCCTAACGGAGATATACAAAGGAAGATAAAAATGGTTCAGTGGGTTGTTGCTCACTTTGGAGCGTCGATTCTGAGGTTCTTTTCCTGCATGTGCAAATCTGTCCAAAAAATCTGGTGACACTGGTGATTCATTTGTATATCTATCGCTAAGGCACATGTCCCTGGCATATCTGTCTTGTCTAACCAGTAAAATGAAAGTATAAAAAAAAGCAGTCTAACCATGATTTATAATTTCATCTTCAAAAAATTTCCTTTCGATTATCCGCAATAAAACGAAAACTTTTAATTTAGTTGGGAAAAAAATTGAATAAGAGAGAAAATTGTACTTTTGTATTGAATAAGCAAGTACGTTTATTAAAGTTAGCAGCTGATTAAATGATAATAATGATCATTTTAATAATGATAATAATTTATAATTTTACTGTTTTCAGAGAAACTGTGAACACAAATGAAAGTAAAATCTGAAATATAAATCTCATGGTCGTAAGGTTATATATTATTTATGCTATAACAAATATAACAGATTTCAGAAATCTGCACTGCCGACAGATATAACAATACCAAGCGACAGGAACGTTAGGAAGAAGGAATATAAGAGAAATACTTGAGAGAGGAACTAGAGAAGGTATGGAAGATAAAGGCCAAAGAAATTCTAATGACTGGAGTGCTTGGATTTATGACCCCTAAACTAAAAAGGTGGTTCTCTGTGGATCTAGAAGAGCGCACTATTGGAAATAGCCAAGATACTACGTAGGAACCCCTATTCTCGCAGGCCTCTAGTGGAAGATGATCGTGACACCCACAGGTGTTGAGGAAAAAGTTTTTTTGTGAAAGGATAAATTAAAAGAGAAATCCAAGTGAGCAGGGCCATATTTCTAACTTTCTTAATAAATAACTTTCTGGCCCATTCTGTTAGTCAGTGGAACTAATAAATCCACAAATAAGGGATAAAAAGTTATTTTAGGAATTATCAAGTCAAATATTGTTTCATTAGGATAAATAAAATCTAAAAATTTAATGTTGTTAATTTAATTTAAGTATTTGTGGGTTTCTTTTCTGTTGTTGTGGCGACTGTGAATCGAACCCACCCGTATTCTTGCTAACGTTTTTGACGATTGATCGCATCATCATCGGTTGTCGTTGTTTGTTCGTGCAAACGATCTTTGCCGCTTTATTATTGATCCATTTTGTCATCATCATCTCGAAAAATGCGTCGAAATGTGGTGCATTAACGATCAAGTTCATTTTAATTCTCACCTTAATTCTTTTCACTGGTGTTTTTAATGTTTTCTTGGATTCTATCTGATCTCGACGTCGATCTGCGTGTTTTTCATGTGTTTACGTCAAGTTTAATTGATATTCCATTTTTTAAACTATCGATTTCTTTTTTACTTATTTTACTTTTCGGTATTTTGAAAGTATAATTCACTAAAAAAAAATTTTTGGGTGGGGATGATCAACAAAGTCATTAATTTGGCGTGGTCGTGCGTGTAAAATTCTTTGTTCATTTTTACTGCGGATTTCATTATTGAGTTGATTAGTTCATGATCAGTGGATTTTACAAAAGTTTTTTTAAGAAGGCAGATGGATTTTGAGTGATTCCCTTTTACCGTACACTTTTTGTTCAAACACAAAATGCAGTTTTATTCACAGTATCATTCTTTATTAATACTTTTATCATTTGATCAAAGGCTAACTAATGATTTTATCTAAAGATTTATGGGATTTTATGTATTAATTACCTAGTCAATTATCTGAATTTTAAAATTCGTATTATTATTGATCGATAGTTAGAAAAATGGATTAGATTTGAAAAATATTGATTCCAGCCGTAATTTTGATTTAAACCCAATTCTCGATCTACAATCATCGTTGAATTTTTTTGCTGAAAAGAGCAGCCTCAGAAAAGAAAAAAATTTATAAATTAAAGGTTTTTCAGATTCAGATCCTTAATATTTTCTTCATGGAGTTGTGAATTTATTGAAAAAGGATAAAAAGGATCGAATCAGAGGCTTGTATTAAAGAATTTGTCCACTTTTGGCCCATATTCATCAGTTCATAATTTGTTGGTATGTTTTTTTCCATTTCATTTTTTACTAATTATTTTAGTATGAAAACTGACTTATTCTATGGCGCAGAAATTGCTTTTAAATCAGTCAGCGCCAATATTTAGCGCTAATTTATTAATTGCACGAAAAATTTTTGTTAATATGCAATAGTAAAAATAAAAAAAAAACGATTAGTGCTCACCATTGCATTAGGTTGCTATATCCATTGCTAGTGTAGGGTCCTCGGTTAGGAAATTTCACATGAAAATCATTTAACAACTGAAATGCGTCACCATCACCACTTAAGTAATAATACTATTCATTATTATTAATTATTTACAGTGTTCTAATTAATTATTAATTGGTAATTTTTATTATTTATCGAAAATTTTTAGTAGAAAAAAAGTTGTTGAATATTGGTCGAAGCAAAATTATTTGGTATTCGATATTTATTGATAGCGATTTTCGCCAAGTTATAGCTGAAATTTTTGGTGTTTTTATTTATTTATTCGAAAAAAAAACCGAAAATTAGTTTGCTGCATTATAAGGGAAAAAAGCAAAAATATTCTACGATTCGCCGATAATATTTATAGACAGTCAGTTTTGATTGTCGCATATGAATATTTCTATTGAATTACATTATTACAATTTTATACCAACATTATTGTCATTATTATTACTATTATTATCATAATTATTTATTGTTACTATTATTATTATTATCATCAACAAATTGAAGATGGCAACAAATGGTGGGAGTCTTGAAGACTGCTATACAAATGTTTTTGCTGTGGTTTGTTTGTTTTTTTTTATTATATTTGATTTTATTTTTGATGATTATAATACAATTATTTGGCGAAAATGGAAGAAAATTTAGACAGAATTGAATGGACTACGGTGGAAATGTTTAACGACACCAGTACCGTCACAGCGTACATGGACGAGTATTGAGCAGGATCCAGTTTTAATGGCATATTCGAAATGTCTGCAAGCGGGTATTTTATGCGCATGGAGAAGGCAACCACCATCATCAACTACTACAAATAATCCTTTGCTAATACCCGATTATCGCATTGATGTAGTAAAAGAATTATGGGTTTTTTGGTATTCGCAAGAAGAACCTGAACTGCTTTCACAGTTCACCAGTCATTTGTCTTGCAAGTTTTTCATTTATTTTAGTCTTATTGTATCTCGTTTCTTTCTTATTCTAGATTGGTTTTTATTCTCTTTTATTGTCTATAAATTAAATTTTTAGGTAATGAAAATAGTCATGGAAATTGGTCGGTTCCGGGTATTCAGTATGAAATAAGAACATTATTTTTTAAAGCATTTCATAATTTATATGAAAGGTTTCTTTTTTTTTTAATCATTTTTTTTATTTTTTTAATCTGTCTTATTTTCAAATATTTTTCAAAGATTTCAAACAAATTGAACATAGTAGACTAAAATTTTAAGGCAACTGTTCATTTTTAAGGCAACTTAATAGAAACGGATATGTACGCATTGGAAGATATTTTACACGGCCATATGATGTTCCTTCAGCCGATCGTATTCAATGCTCACCTGGGTATATTTTTTTCATTTTCTGAAATTTCTTGTAATTTTATTTGCACAAATTTTCAGTTATATTCTTGGAATAAACTTCAATTTTTTCGTACATGGTGAAAATACTATGTGTACAAGTGTAAATTTTCAACGGCAACCAACGTTATTTCGTTTATCGAGGAGGCATTTGGACAACGGGAAAAGGCAACCAATAATTCTTGCTCCCTGGTCTTTGCGTGCCACTTTGCTGCCTGATCAGCCAAAAACTTTTGACGATCTTATCGTTCGGCGTGTGTATACCGGTGAAACAGGTTTTCTTTTCAGTGTTGCAATTATAAAAAAATTGTCGGCATCTAAAATTTCGAAAAATTTTGTTGTTTATAATTAATTAGTTTAGGTGGATTTGGAACAGATATTGATCGAACGAGAACTGTAGAAAATCGCTACGATCGAGTTTTTGGTGAACAAAATGTTGGTAATATTTTATCAACACAACCCATGACGAGCTGTGATTCTGGTGCATTTAATATGTTCGTAGCACCGAATGATAACGTGATATTAAAATCCAAAATTGATAAACTTTTACAAGGATGGCTGCAGTTTTTTTGTTTAAATACTGATAAATTTGGCGAACATTTGTTTCAAAGGCCATTGCTCAGCGATTCGCTTGAAGTATTTTTTGACTAGCATTTTTTTTAGTGATTTTCGTTTTTCTTGCTTTAATTGAAGTTAAATGTAATTATTTATCTCGGAATGAAATAGGCTAAGTTGTATTTAATTATTTCTAATTAAATTTTTTTGTTTTTTTAGGCCAAAAATGGCGAAAATGCAGTGCCAACAATGGTTTTGGTCGATGTAGATGGTGTACGTTTGTGGTATCCTAGCTCCTTTATTGTTATTCAAGCTTCGGATGATTTGCTTATAAAGTATATGGATGCTTTTGTTCATTTATTAGATTTAGATTTATTTATATTTATATTTGTAGAACTGGAAATGTACCATTGATTTTTTCTCTGGTTAATGAACAATATAGTAAATTAAAGTCAATCAAATGAGTTAAAGGAGAGTGCTTTTTTTTCAAATCAACTATCTAGCAAAATTAGCAATAAGAGCAAATAATTATTTAAAAATTAGAAAAAATTAGCAAATTAGCAGAAAGTGAAAAAGCAAAGATGAATAATGATTACAGAAATGAAACAATGAATTCAAATAGTGAGGAATCCGAGATTAATCAAGCTAATGAAACCACATTTTCGTCAGATGGTTTATTTGGTGATCAAATTGCAATTAATGGAAAGTTTAAATCAAAACGTCATAAGAAGAAATTTTATAATCCCATGCCTCATCAACGTAACAGTATGTACGGAGAAATGGTTAATGGGGCAAGAATAGTTCAAAGGTAATTTTTTATTATCTTTATTTGTTATCTTTATTTAAATATTGTACATTGTATAATTAAATTGATTTTTTGGTCAGCTCATAAAATTTTTTTTTAAATTTTTTATAAATTGCCTTTTTTTGAACCATTTAACTCAGGGTAGAACAGTCGAGTGGTTTGTGGTTCAGATTATGTTCAAAACAATGGTTTAATTCCTACTCTGATAGGATGGGAGTAAATTTATCATCAAAAAATCCGTGTAATTATGATGATCCAATTCTTTTCTATCGCCATGTGGCTCCTTGGCAAAAAATTTCTAACGATTAATAATAGCCAGCAAAGCGATAGCTTCTGGAAATAACGTTAGAGCTTACGTATCAGTTAATTAAGAGAAAAATAAATTTGACAGATTTTTGGAAGAATCTTGCATACAATCAAACACTAGTCGTCGAAAAGATTGTATCGAATCGCAAACATCGTCTGGGCTTGGTTTGCTAATGTCTGGCGCAAGTAATGACGACGATAACAGGTTTGTTTTCCGAAAAAAATTTGAAATAAATGGTGAGTCTGACTGATTTATAAAAGTGAAATTTGAAAATTTGTTATTTTTAACACTTTATACATTGACTGTTACCAAGCATAATTTTTTATTCTCTAATTTTCGCACTTTTTCATCTTTCTCTAACCAACGAAAATAGCTCATGCAAAATACATTAAAGTTAGGTATTTATCTGATTAGAGTTGAAAATGAATTATTTTTCTAGCTATTTTTTCATGGAAATAATTTTTTTGTTTTTTTAGATGGAATTTAATTGACGGAATTCGGAGAAAAGAACGTGATAATGAACAATGTTCTTGTCATGGCTGTCAGTCTTTTACATTAATTCGCGTCCCACAACTTCCTTCTACCTCTTCTCAGAGTAACAATTTTGTTGCAATAATAATAGCTAGTTTTAGTAGGATTTATTCATTCGACTTGTTTATGTCTATTATCTTATTTGTGATCCTCTTTTGTATTTCTTTTGTATCTCGGTTTGTCTTTTGTTTTTTTCGCATTTAAATTGGTAAGAAATCGTAAAGTTACTTCTAATTTTAGATCAACCTCAAAATTCATGCACATTCACTGTCGCAAAAGAATCTTCAGATTATACAGGTGCCAAAGAGTAAGCATTTAATTCTTTTTCTTGATAATTTTTAATATTGATTCATGTAGAAGTATGCTTATATTACTTTTTATTTATATATTATAGATGCGCGCTTTTTCATCAGCGTTCACCTTCATATACACATTCATTATCACCACCGTGTTCTCCAACATGGAACAAACGTATGAAGTCGCTTATCTTAGAAACAAGTTGTAATGATGGGAATGATTGGATCCATGAGGATATTTATCATGGTTCAATTAATGGATCTAGAACTGGGCGACTGGATTTGAATCAGGGTATTTTTTTTATTATGAACATTTTCTTCATATTCACGGCCCATTTTCTTTATTGATTAATGAGCTTCATGAAATGTTGTGCTTAAAAAGGGAAAATGAAAAAAATCTGATGATTACCAGTATACTTTCTGAGTGAAATTCCAAATGAATTTGAAGGAAGAATTTAAAATTATGGTTTACTTAAATTTTTTTTATTGACAGAATTTGTCATATAAAGAATAGTGAAAAATATATCAGTAAATTAAAACATCAAAAAACAAAAAAAAACCCAGATAAATATCTGGAATTTCAACGATTATTATTTGCTGAGAAAAGAAATTGTATTGTACTTTATGTGATATTTTTTAAAATACTGGGAATCGAAAATTCTGTAGGTATTATTCATCTACATTCACATTTTCTCGTAATATGAATTCGAATTGTTTTTGTGAATTTCCTTTAAGTATTTATCAAATCTGAAAATGATATAGATCAATTGAATATACCAATTTCTAAGAAGAGGCTAATTGGTTTTCGCACTAATATTTTTAAGGAATTGAGGTTTTCAATGTTTTTTTGTAAAATTTTAAAGCTTTAATGCTATTCTTGAAATAATCTATGATTTTTTTGCAACTATTTAATTTGTATATATAATTTGCATATTTTGTTTAATTTTACCTTATACTATTGTTTAGATGATCGGTGTCTTTATCCAGATTCACCAACTTATTCAACATCCGATTTACCTGATCATCGACGAGTTCATTGGGATCGGATTTCCGGAAGAAATACGAAAGCTAATTGCTGCAAACCGATTTATCAAAATATAAGTCCTTCTACTAGCAGGTGCTTCCTCATTTCCTGTTATACAATTGAATTTATTTGCTTTTGGCAAATACTTATTTTCAAATTAAGGCCTCGATCTCCAGTTTCTGGCATTTCTGTGGACTCAAATATGCGTGTGAAAAATGATTGCGTTCTGAAGAACGAGTTTTCTCATATTACAAGATTCACAGACTCATCGAAATTTAATTTTGATCCTGCGCTTAAGCAGAATGCCTCTAATGTTCCACCAGTGAATGAGCAAGATTTCGAAACATTCCGGTGCAAAGTGGTATTTTTCGATTTGTCTGAAATACATCTTATTTTTTTATTTATTTATTTATTGAAAATCAAAAGCCATATGCTTAACAATAGTTAATGTTAATAACAACAGTTAAAATGACAAATAATAATTAATGATAAAAAAGAAAAAGAAAATATGAAATGATGAGGAAATTATAATGTAATATAGTACGATTTGAAGTAACTGTATTATATATAATCGGATGGTAAAAATTTTGAATAATTATTCTCAGTTAAAAGGGACAAAAGTTTCGCTAGAGACAAAAGTTTTCATTTTTTGGTTTAATGCAATGTATAGACATTCTTGCTTCAGACTCGAGATCACGAAAGTAAGCAGAGGAGTAAAAAAGTTGTTTGGAAAGATATTAATAATTTCGATGTTCTGAAGGTAACATGCGATTTAGGGGTGAGTTTAATTTGCGATACTAAAATTCGTAATATCAATTTTAAATTTTTAAAAAACATCAAAATGTTTTAAGGAGGAGAAACCGATCAATCCGTACGATCTTTTCTCTGATAAATTTCATCCTGACGAACTATCTTCAGAGAAGATATTTTATTATAATTTATCGTTTCGGGAGAAATCACCGCTGAATTTACGAAGTACTGGTCCTAAATTTCCTCAGGGTTTTGTCTTTCTTGTTTAATTAAATTTTTTAAAATTTGTTTTAGACTTCCTTTATTCCTCTTTTTTTTTTGAATTTGAGTTTTAATCTTTGATGAATTTAACCATTTGTCATTTTTCCATCCATGATTATTTCATGACTATTGTTATTATTGATTATTTCATCCATTTTAGTTTGATTTATTTCATTGAGAATTTTTTCAGGGGCGGATGAGCAAGATTCATTATCGAACACTGAATCGAGTACTTCGCTTGAGGAAAAGAGAAGTGCTGTTTACATGGTGGATAACAACGATATGTCTTCTAATTTTCTTAGTAATTGTAGCCCATCAACGATTGTAATGATGGATACAAGTAGTCCTATCGGGGTTATATTTTTTTAAAGATTTTGTGATGGATGAAGGATAAATTATTTTGAAAAGTCTTTTTCAAACTTTTCTTAGAAGGAAATTTTTCTTATCTGTGAAGAATCATAAATCCCTTCATTTCTTAAAAGTTATGCGTTTTTTTGAAATAAATTATTATTAGTCTGCCTTAATCCTCACCACTTCAATTATATCCTTAGTAGTCCCAATTTAATACTTGTATCTTGCCATTGTATCTTGCTTCGGCCATGCACACGATCACAGTAACAAAGATTGGCACTTTTTGGAGTTCTTAGGAAATTTTATTGGATTATTTCCATTCAGCACTGATTTTGGATCGATTGAATTGCTCAGTTATATATATATATATTTCCTAAATCAAATTTGTTTACATAAATTTCTTAAAATTTATGCTGAAAATTTATAGCCAGTCAACGATTCTGTCCATCTTTCTCCTCCAGCAAGCAATGAAAATATTGATTCATTTATCTTGACCTCAGTCGGAGGAACTGCTCCCAGCTTGGTGCGGAATTTTTATATTTTATTAATATTAATAACTGATATTTTTGTCGTTTTTGTTCATCATCTTTTCGTTATCATTATGTTTTGTTTTATTACAGTCCGGTAGATTTTGTGGCCCTCCTTCAGTCGGAGACTATAAAATTTATCCAACGCCACCATCAGTGGATGCTTTTCAGGTAATTTGCATTCTTTTTTTTTCTCGGTCATTTTATTTGATTTTGCGGTCAACTATTAATTATTAATTGTAGTCAATAATTTTAAGCGGAATTGAAAATGAAGTGGAATTTGGCTATTTTTTTATATTGTAAAAATTTAGTCGCAACAGTTCAGTCCTCAAAATGCTGTAGTTTGCACTGTAGCAACTTCTCAGGGATTTACGGGCGCTCCTATCAGCAGCAATTATTTTTTATCCCAACAGATTGGTGATAATCTAGAGGTTGGGAAAAATGATATACGTTGTGAATCCGAGTCGGCAAATCAAAATTTGGTAATTTTGATTCATTAAATTATATGTCGCAATGTTTTCCATTATTTACCTTTATTTGCGAATCAGTTTATTGGAATTTCTCATTATCGTCCATTTTTAGTACAAGAAGTTGTCAATGCTTTTGAGGGAAAAACCCGTTTATGGCAATGTGCGAGTGGTTGAGATGGCATTGAGTGGAAAATTTGCTGGAGATATTTTTAAGGGTGATAACAGCATTGAGGTATATTTTTTATTAAGTAAAAAGCAGTTGTTGGAATAATTCCACTGGGTATTGATAATAAATTCTTGCCAGAAAGTAACAAATAATAATTAAAAGCAATCTACTGAGCAAGTCTATCCCCATCGCATCTAATTAACTTTTTACCTAAAATTTGATTATTTTTTAAAAAGTATGGGTGGGTTGGCACCATCCGAATTTAGTTTCTTATGATCAGTTATTTTGCATCTTTTTTTTTAAAGAGTCCTCACCATTACTGGTTAAACTTGCTTCACTGGCTTGTCGCATTGGGCATTATACCAGGGAGTCCCTTGGCGACTGAAATATAGGTGAAATATAGGCGCCAGCATCACCTGGATTTTTCTACAGGTTTACTCCTGCGGGAAATCGAACTTCAGCATCGGCGTTCCAAACTGAGCAACAATCCACTGAGCAATTCTATTTCCATCGCATCTAATTTATTCTAAATTAACTTTTTGCCTAAAATTTGATTAATTTTAAATTTGGCATCTATTTTAAAGATCTTTTTTATTGCATCGTCTAAGAATCCGATTCTTTTTAAGGTATATTTCAAATAATTTTAAATTTAAGCTGATAATGAATCATTTTAGATTAAGAGTTTTCGAATGTCGCAAGGAGCATATGCCGACCAAGAAAAATTGATTTTTACGTCACTAGCTCAACGCCGTAAACGCAAAAAATGTTTTCGACCACCCGATTACCTTTCACTGAAACAACGTATATCGTCATCAAATCAAACTTTATCATCGCATTCGCGTCCTTATCGACTTTCCTACAATCCTTCACATTCCTTGCATCCTCATATCTTACATAGTATCCCAAGTATGTTTTAAATCCATTTCTTTTTGCTGAGGGAATTTTTATTTTCATTTTCCATTAAATTTGGGATTATAAAAAAACAGAAACGTGGTGAAATGAAATAATTTCAATGGTAATCGCTAAATGAATGCTAATTTAAAGTTTGCATTAAAATAGTTAATCTTGATTAGAGCAAAATTATTTATAAATTATTATTTTTATCATATGAATTTTTTAGTGACCACTTTACCTGCCAATTCATATCTCAGTGGTTCTTTAATGAATTCAGCATCTGGTAATTCTTCTATGATGAATTTAATGATGGCAAATTCTGGGATGATGAATTCATGTACAGTAAATAACATTGGTAATATGCAGTTATCTATAGGGGCAATTAACCAGCAAATGCCAATGAGTCAGATGATGCAAGCAAGGTATTTTAATTCATTTGAATTTTTTGTTTTTTCTTCTACCCTAAATTATAGATCTATGGTTAGATTTTAAATTTTTCGTAATACTGATTTTTCAATAAATCTTTTAATATATTTATGTATCAATTTAATCAATTTTGTTGGTCGGATTTTAGGCCAAGTTCATATCCAGCTTCGTCATATGGTCCTGTTCCACACCATATAGGATTCATAGGAGCAAACCATTTCATTGGACCGTCTGGTTTGATAGGTCATCACCCTAATCACATTCCTGGAGCTCCATTAAATCCATCTAATGTTCATAATATGAATATGCCGTTAAGGCATCCACCACAGCCAATGGCTGCTGGACTCTCAGGCCTTAATCCAATGTCCTCGTCATTGCAACCTCAGCCTCAACCATTCCAGCAGTTAAGCCAGTTTGTGAACAATACCAACTTCTCTGGTCAACAAAATCCTCCATTCTCCAGTTGTCAGCAGTTATATCAACAACAGGTAGTTTCTTTGTTTTCATGAATCTCTGTCTAATATTATATATTATATTTTTCACTTTTTGTTTACAGGCAATATATCGTAGTGGGTTGCAAGAAGGTATTAATCAACAATCAGGACAATCTCCAGGACCGTATGGCATGGATTCTCAAGTAATTGTTTTCGGAAATCGATTTTTTATTCACTGACTTTAGCCTTATTTGTTGTGTTCTTTATTTTATTTTTGGTAAAACAATTTTAGTGTTCAACGCCCATTGAACCACCACCATCATTTTCTCAAGCGATGGTTAGTCAATATTCGGCGATGGTAAATCCTCGAAATTCTAATCCCATGTTTTGTGCACAATCATCTCAAATTGGCAGAGCCGGTGGCATTATGGGTCAAGCCAGTAGTTCAAGTGTTGGTTTAATTATGAGTGGAGCTCAGTCATCGCAAAATTCTATGATGATTTCTTGTTCTGTGAATAGTCCAATGACTAATCCGATCTTTGCGAAGTATTCTTGAATTTTTTTTTTGGAAATTTAAAATATATATAATATATTTAATATATAATATATAGTTAATATATTTCAATTTTTTCTAAAATTCAGTCATCTTTCTTTATTGTTTATTAACTAATGAAAAAGTGATAAATCTCTGTATATTTAAAGATATGTCAAAATTTGATCCAAAACATACAAATATTATATATAATTTTTGTTGTAATTTTTTCAGTCGATCCAACACTCTATCGCAAGTTATAGAGAATAATAGTTCAGCTGCAGTACGAATTCATCCTGAAGGCAAATCTCTTGTATTGGCTGTACTTCTACAAGATACTGTACTTGATCTTCATTATGATACAGTTTTCGATTCTTGTCCTATATGCTCTTGTAATGGAAACATTCGTGCAAAGGTTTAATCTTTTTATTTATTTCTTTTAAATAATTTTGCAATAAGATGATTTTATACAAAATTTCATTTTCTCGAAAGTTTTGTTTAGGAATTTGGGATGTATATAACTCCACCGGAAATCTTACGTCAGCCTTTATCACAGCAGCAGCTAGTCGTGAACAAACCTACTAGTGGTTTTTATAACAATGGTGCCGCAAATACTTGCACATGCGGTTTTAGGTAATTATTAAATGTACTAATTATATATATTGATAAGTATTACTACGCCACATTCTTTATATGAAATTAGCTTTAATTTTCAGCGCGGTAAGACATAGATATTTAAGTATGAAAGCAGGTTTGTTCGCTGAAGATGCCAAAGAGGCTACTGATATTACTGAAAGTCCAAATCAACCAGTTATACCTCATGCTATATGGTTCGATCCGATGAGTGGAAGGTTTTTATAATTTATTTTGTAATAAATTTTATTTCATAATGTGCTTTATTTATATTCGAAGGAGAGTATAGGAGAATCTATATTGCATAAGGTGTATCATATTCTTTCTAGTTGGAAAGGTGCTTTACAGAGATATGAATTTCATCGCATTATTGCGAGAGCAAACGCTTGTGCGCGATTTAGCAGGAATCGTGAATCGGGTATCTTTGTTAAATTTGCAGTGCGATAGAGCAACTCAGGTAAAATTGTAAATTATAATTATAAATGAATTTTTTAAAATCAATCAAATCAATCAAAAAAATTGGATATTCGTTTTGCTTCTGATTTCTTACTAGTTCTTAATCAGTCCTCAATTTCAGTTTGAGCGAATAGGATCCGATATGTCGAAGCATGGTGAATATATAATCTCAGAAGTGGATCAACGTGAACTACCTCTTGTTTTCCAGGCTGCTTGTGAAATTGCATGCATGGAAATGAATAGTCATCCACCACCTCGTGATGTGCGAAGCGTTTTACTTCATGATTGGGGAATTCAGGTTCATTCGATTAATGTTCAACTGTTATTGTAATAAAATATCCTTTTTTATTTTCTTGTTGTTTCATTCTTGCCACAAGTAAAATAGAAATCTGCTTTTTAGATTGCAAATGAAATGCGCGAGCCTCGAGAATCGGAATGCCTAGCTGCTTTACGTGAAATTGCACCCATCCTTGAAGGTGCTTTACGTATTGCGCGGTCAGCTTCACAATACAGCAATAACAACATTGTGGAAGGTCCTCTCACTTGGCGACTTTTTGATAGAAAATCTCTAAAGTCATGTGGTGGAATGGTAAGATTTTAAATGGAATAGTTTTACGAAATTCCTGGTGGAATGGTAAGATTTTAAATGGAATAGTTTTACGAAATTCCTATTTTGTCTGACTACTTTGATCTTAAATTTAAGGATGAAGATGGATGCCCAGAGCCAGTGCCTAATATCATGGTAGCTTCAGAAAAGGATGCAATAACAGCTTCACCGCAAATTTTACGAATGTGGGAAAAATTTGCTTTGGAACCATACGATCAAACGAAAGATGTTCTCTACATTGGAGTGGTACCTGATAGCATTGTTTGCATCGAAAGATCCAAAAAATATTTTGAAGATCTTTCCCGGTATTTATTTTCCTTTTTTCGCTAACACCACCATTTTATTTTTTGCTATGACATTTCACGTTAATTTTTATTTTAAAATCTCTTTTGAATTTCTCTTAAGAATGTACGAACAATGTCGGTTAGGCCGACATATACCGTTTGCCAAAGAATCTTTAAAGGATGGAATTCTACGAGTTTCGATGAGATATCCTTCTACAAATCCAGGCGATTGTGATAATTTTCTAAATCAGGTTGAACGACACATTGGCGATAACAAATCTCTTATTGCCAGACTTAAGGTTAAATTAAATGAGTCTTAACGAATCTATATCATTTGTTCCTTATCCTTTTTTTATTCAGTTTTTTGTTCAATTATTTAATAATTAGAAAAAACAGGCTTTTTTCAGATTTATAAACAATGTTTCGAAAATGAGGTAGCCCGCATTCTTTTAAACAATGATTGCATTTTCAATCGGGAAACGTACAGGACATTGCTTCTTGAGAACCAGGTAAAATATTCTTTTCAAGATATGTACTCAGAAAAATTCGGCCAGTTTTTTCAATGCTTTTTTGAGGCAGATTTCAAGTTTTTTTAAAAGCCACAAACTTTAGCCACTTCTAGAAATATTTTTGAATAAACGGTTTGGATTCTAATTTCTTCTTTTTTCCTAAATGAATTTCTGTTTATGTATTTTTAAAGTTTTCAGCAAGGTGTCACTCAGTCAGTTATAAGTAGTCCAGAACAAATGCCTCCACCACCTGTGCCTGGAAATATTGGTAACGTTAGTAACGTCCAACTTGGAGCTGCATCACAGGGTATTATTTTTCCTTTTAGACATTTTTGAAGTGATATAAATTTTTAAAATTTGATTCATAAAATTTAATTTGATTTGATAAAATTTGATTTTATTGAGAAATAAAATCTAATTCATTTGCTGGTATCAAACACATTCATTCAAAATTTTAGGTCCAAACAGTGTTGGCGCTTCCTGTTCCATTATTGGTTGCATTGGTGAACCTCTGACACCTGATAATTTGACTGCCGGTGATAATTCCTCACAAGTTCCATCAAGTTCAACTTCCTTGTTAAATGAACAAGTGTTAGATGGGGTTGTACCTGATGATGAGCCTGGCACATTACCTCATGTGATTGTGCTTTATGTGGTTTGTTTATATTAAGTCTCATTTAATATCTAATGTATTTTCTTAAACTTTTCTTTAAACGTGCTAGATATTTTATCTCCCAACAATCATTTCTTTTTAGATTAACCCATTTCTCATTGGTGTAGAGGATAATTCTTTGGTTGCTCGAGTAGTAACTGTTGCCTTGATGAGATCATTCAGTGCCTTATTATATCGTTTAAATACGAGACGTCGTCCTCAACTTCAACTTGAAATTATTGGTCTGCAAACTATTTTTGATTATACAGCAGTTACATCTGATTTTCTAAAAGACGATTTTGGAAGATTAAATGCGTTTGATCAAGGTATGGTTGGAAAAATTTCTTTTCAGATTTTGTTTATTTTTTAAAAGTGCACAGATTTCTTTGAGAAATATTGAACAAATTTTAAGGAATATTAGAAAAATCGATAAATGAAAGGTTGTCATCAGTTGATGCATTGAAAACCACTGCATTTTCCGTCTATACTCAATCGCGCATTGTTTTACCAGAAGTAGTGCGGGATATACTTCCAAAGAGTATGACTCGATTTGGTCCATCAGCGGCGATGGGTGATTTATTAAGCGAACTAGATAAGAAGGAACCTATATTTTATAAGGTTATTCTTGAATTACTAACTGTATTTTTAATGAATTTATGAATTTATATATCTGGAATTTATATCAGATTAATTGTTTTACAACAATTTTTGATGAATTTTTTAGCAATTACAATTTAAGGTGCCCAGTAAAGCATTCATTCTTGCTCCTCCTCAGCCCGTTATGTTACGGCCAAGTGGAGATTTGATGCAAATTAACACTGATGAGACTATATTATTTGTTAGTTACTGTTTAGTCGGTAATGATTGGCTTGCCGCTACTGTAACTGATCATCAAGGGCACCTGCTTGATAATTGCTTGATCAACTTGAGGCTGAAACCTGATCATAAGCGGTATCATTTTCTCGCTCTAAAAATTTTTTATGTGATCTGCCAGTGATTACTTACTATTTTTAAAAAGGATCTGTTTTCGCGATAAATTCATAGATTCATAAGTATTTAAATATTAAAGTGAAACTTTTGAAGGGTGAATATGCGGTATAAACAGTCAACGCAAATTCGTGATAGTTTATATCGCCTATGGTCTTATATTTTGGGAACTTTGGCTACCGGAACCAAAAATTGGCGACTTGTTATTGGGCGACTTGGAAGAATTGGACATGGCGAATTTAAATGTAATCGGCTTGTCGTTATACTTTTCATGTTTTTCAAATTTCTGTAAATAATCTGTATTTCGTGATGAGTAAAGTAGATAACATCAATAAATATATTTATATATTGCCTATATATTATATATTACATTAAATTTCTTTCAGTTTGGACACAGCTTCTGAATAAATCGTATTTGAAGCAAGTAGGATCGCGAATGAAACATGCTTGTCGTTCCTGTCATATGATTTCTAACATTTTGGTCTGTATTTCTTTGTTTCCTGTTCATCACCATCTTATGCATTTTTCAAATTACTTTTTTCCTTAAATTACTTAAATTAAATTACTTAAATTACTTTTTTTAAGTTGGCATTTTTGGTGGAATGTAGATATTTAACTTATAATAAAACCTACAGAACAAAAGACTTTTAAGGAAACTCCTGGCATATTATCAGCTTGTCTTGTTAGCTTAGAACCAGAGCCATATATACGAATATTTCCATCATCTTTTCAACACGATGAACGTTTTTCAAAAAGTGCCCGTTATCGTACTCTAACAACTCCAGATGATTCAAGCTGTACACACATACTTGTTTTTCCTACAAGCCCAGAGATAAATGTTTGTATCGTTCATATCATATTTTTCTTCAAAAGTAATTGTTATTAAAAAGTCGTGCTAATACTTTTAAAAATCTACAATCAAGATGGGTAAAAAAACGTGAAGCTTTTATTTACCAGTCTAAATAATTTACCAGAGTTTTTTGCTTTTCATTTGCGATTGATTTTACTATTTTTTAAAAATTTAGTTGGAACATCAGGGAGGCAGCGGTGGTGGAGAATTAGACGACGATTTTTCTAATCTTCTCACTACAGATATCAGTATTATTGGTGACGATTTTTCCGATCTAATTGTCGATGGAGAAGATTTGATGACAAATCCGACTGGTCCACCACCTAATTCAGCTACTTTTAGGATTAGTAGCAATACAGGAATACCAAATGAATATGGAGGTATTTTGTTTTCATTATCACTTGTGAGTTATTATGTAATTGTTCAATCGGACAGTGAAGTTCTTACTTTTCCTTAAAATATTTTTTATTAAACAAGTCAAATCGTACAAAAATTTCATAATGTAAAAATGAAGCCATATAATTAAAAAAATTAGGTTTTTAGTTCAAAAAATTTTAAAATTTATAGAATTTATTTTTAGAAATGTCGATTGAAAACCAACCATTAGCTACTGGATATTATATTTCAACGGCACCGGCCTCAGATTTGCCTGATTGGTTTTGGTCTTCATGTCCTTTCGTGAAACGAAGGAATCCTGTTCACTTGAAATGTTCTCTTCACCTAAACACTCCGAATGTTCAACAAGGCGATGATATTTCTTCGTTTGGTGCTAAAGAAGCCTGCCATCACCAGTTGGATAGTCAAGCTACCGCCGATGTTTTACGGTTAGAAACTTCAAATGCATTCGATAAAATTTTAATAGAAATGATTCCATTCATCTTCTAAAGAAAGAAGCAAATTTACTGAAGTTGCTCCTTCATCCCTACAAAGATAGTTTGACTTTTTCGGCATTATAACATTTTTTACCGTTTACGATTCTTTTACCATTCTACCATTCTACCGTTAATTTACCATTCTTACCATTCTTTACCGTTAATTTTAACTGAGGATTTTATTTTTTGGCCTCATCTAGCAAGACGAGGCAAGGCAAAGCCTGTAACAAGATATATTATCCTATGTACATAACGTAAGCTGGCATAATGGGTATCCTTTTAGTGCTGGTGGTATTTGAAGATGAATGGAGTGAAAAAATTTTTCATTATTTATTCCATTTTCCTTCGAATTCTTGTAGCTTTTTTGGAATTTCATCAAGCGAACTTCCGTATAAAATCTTTTTTATCACATCCAGAATAGAATGGGACCATATGAGGTATCGCAGAATTTTCTTTTCAAGCGTATGGTATCTATTTTAACAGATGGTGATAATAAGCGATCGGAATTCATCTCATAATCGGGATTTTCCTTATCGATGCCATTTGATTCATACATGGGCCTTTCACTTTAGGCATGGAGATTCCCAGCAAACACGTAGATTCTTTGAAAATAGCTCGAAATTATTTTTGATGCCTGTACAAGAAAATTTTTGTGATGCATAACTCATCTGCTATGATTAACGGCCAGAAATAATAGAAATATGATCGTTTAAATGTCATTATTTATTGGAGCACTTTGTTCAGTATTTATTAGTTTCAATCTTAAAAATATTAGTCCATAATTCTATTTGGAATATGTTTTTAGTTATGTACTGGAAACATATAACGCACTTTCATGGTTAAATATTGATTATGTCACTGGAGAGCGACGTTCATGTCTGCCGATACACATACAAGCTCTTAATCGACTTTGTAATACAGTTAATCGGCTTATCAATTAATCAGATATTGTCACCACGTACAACTCTCAAAATAGATGAACGGGTTATTATTAAATTATTTTTGATAAGATGATAGTGTTGATTATTTTAAGACCACCTTATATAAAAGTTTGTTTTTTTGTAAAAGATAAATTGTATAAAGGTAAATTATAGAAAATTTTATTTAAAGAAAATAGTTTGAGTGGCATTAGCATTTAATTTTATTGCTTTTTAATTTGTGCGATTTGATTTGATCATGCTATAAATTGTTTTTCGTCAAAGCATATTTTATTAATTTTTTAAATTCAAATGCATTTTTAGGTATTATTGTTTTTTTACTGACAAAGTTTTTGTTGGTTTTGTTTCCCTCTTGGCATATTTTTTAATGTAATTTTTTGTGAAGATTTGTATCTTGTAATAACAATTTTGTTTTAAGGGATTCGTTCAAGTATTAATTGTTTTATGTATAACTCATTATTAGTGACAAAAACAATTGATTATGTATAACTCACTCACTATTTATCATTACAAGAATATGAACTGTTAATTTAATATTTTAAAATTAAATAAGGAAACATTTTCATTTTGTTCCTATTAGTATGTAAATATTCGGTTATATATATATATATGTTTTAAGCGGATATTTTTTCAAATGGAATTTTTTTTGTAATTTATTTAGTTTTATGAATATATTTGCATGTTCCTTCATTCGGGTTTATTCCGTTTCTGTTTTTAACTGATGGAAAAAAGAAAGTGATCAAATAATTTCGTATCGATTATTATCTTTATTCATGGTTGTACCTTTGAATAATTTATGTAGGTTAACTTTTTTAGAATCAGTAATTAATTTTCACTTTAGTTCTATATCTCTTAAAGAAATCCGCATTTTTTTTTAGATTTTGCTGTCGTTCTTCACAAAAGATTATTTAAAATTTTTTTACAAATATATATATGAATTTTTTTTGCATTGTACAAAAAAATTCAATGTTTGCTGCCTTGTACATTTATGTCCTTTAATATGAATTGTATTGTATGCATTCAGTGCAAAATTGATTTTCTTCCCTCAAATTTTAAATTTTTTATTTTTTAAATGGTTTAATTTAATTTTTGTTATACTTAAATATATTTTAGTAATCAGAATATTTTAATAAATATATTCAGTCGGTGTAAATTAATTTTCAGAAAAATTTAGCCTGGATTTTTGGACTGATTAAGTCTGTAACAAATATGAGTTTTTCGTAAATATTTTTTAGATCAAATCAAATATGTCAAGAATTGTTTGATAAGATTGGTCTATTAATGAACTTTTATAGTTTAATGAAGTGAACTTTTTCCTTTTCTGGCACCATTAGTGGTTAGGCTGGCTCCGCTGACACAAAAATAAGACGTCTCCAAATTGCTCGGTCCGACGCCATCGCTAGCAATAGAAGCCATTCCTTTTTCCATCGTCAGAGTCTAAATATCGCTGATCCCTCTATACGTTCAAAATATTTCCTGACTGTATAAGTGCAGGTCTCGATTGGCCATCCTCGCTTTTGAAACCAACCATCACAAGGTTCGGCAAGTAGCGAAATATACGTCAATTCTTGTACGAAGAACATGCCCTGACTATTCTCTGTGATAAAATTATTAATAATAAAAATTAAAATTATTAATAGGTTATGCTTGAGCTATGATGGATACAATCATGTACGATTTTATCGGTTCGATGGATTAGCAAAATATATCTTCGACATGAGTGGTCAAAGGTTGATTTGATAACTGTTTAATATCTTGCACTTTCATTGGTCATGTTTCCAGCCATATAGTAAGATTGTAATTCTTGGATAGTTAGATAGGGTATCCTGGCATTCGAGCTTCGGCAGCTTTTTCATACAATTGGACAGTCGCTTCCGACACTTAACTAGCGCACTTCCTACTAGTATACTCTAGTGTGGAAGTGGCGACTTTTATAAGCATATCTTTAGTTGGGACCAGTGTCATTCGCCATTCTACAGATTCATATTCATTTCACTGAAGTGTTTAAAAAAACGGTTTGAAATGCACTTATTATTCCTGGATCTTTTAATTTGAACTTTTAATTTGAACTAATGGAAAGATCTTGACATATAAAATATAAAATATAAATATAAAGATATAAATATAAGATATAAATATCTTGGGATATTGTTTCTTACTTGTCAGTTTTATGTGAATTTTGGCTCGAACATATAACATCTATAACATGGTCTGATCTATGGTGGTTACCAGATTCAGCTCCTCGATAAGAACTCTTTTAGTGGCGACTGAACAATATATAGTCAACCTGATTGGAATATTGATTATCCGCAGAGTTCCACTTGACTAGATGTCTTTTTCGATGCGTATTAGTAACAAACTATTCATACTGTTCGGCAAAACGAAGAAAGCGTTCTCCATTGGCGCATTAGACTCCATATTTGCCAATTGTCGAGTTTATCGTGGCGGCATTATGATCTAAGCGTGCATTCCATTCTCTTCTGATTATGATTATGTCTCAGTAGAGATATTGTTAATAGTTGAAGTTCCGCATAGAACTTATCTTTGTCCTGGTCATCTGCGCATAAAGTTGGAGCATATAGACTGATCACCGAAATATTGCAGAATTTTCCTTTGAAACGCGTGTAGACCATACGGTCATTTAATGGTTTTCATTCAAACAGAGTGTATCGAGCCTTTTCAGATATGACAGACTTCACACCATTTCTCCCCGAGTTATCCGAGAAACCACAGTGATATAGCCAATATTTTTGCTTGGAACCAAGTTTAATAATTACTCGAGAGCCAAGAGAAAGAGGGAACTCCGACAAACAAGCTACATCTGTCGGAAATAATCGAAGGAAAGAAAAAAATAATAGTAATACGGTAAAATTCAGTTTTTTTAAAATACAAAAAAAAAGAAAAAACAAGATTTTAACAAAGCTTTCCACATCATAAGCAGGCAACAATATGCAAATCGCGCAAAATTGTTTTTCTTCTTTTTTTTTCTTTTTTTTTTTGTTCTTTTCGCTTATATTCGCTTTTATTTCGGACCTATTAAATAACTATTTTTCATTTATTATAGTTCATTTATAATAGTATTTTTTTTAATAAAAATATTTCAATTCACGATCGCAAGAGCACATTCTTTTCCCGACAAAATTTTTGGTGCCACGAGCCGTGAATATGACGACAAGCTTAGCGAAAAGCGCGCAACCTGCAGTAACAAAACTAACTAAATTCCTGAGTGAAATACGAAATTAAAAGCTACCGAATAGGAGAATGCCGTTGGAAGAATTAATAACAATACGAGGCCAAAAAAAGAATAATCAAAGGAAAGCTAAGACGCTTTGAAATACTCATTGGCTATTTGGAATCAGTCAATACAAAATGGTTGGACTATATCAATACTATAGTCACTCCACAAAAAAGGAAGGAAGAAGAAGAAAAATATGCCCAAATGGTCGACAATGAAAAAGGTATTTTAAATGTTGTTATACTAGACTTGTATAAAAAGAATTTGGAATCAATAATCGAACAATCAATAATTACGAAATCACATATAAATAAAGAATCTAAGCAACAAGATATAACTTAAACCAGCTTCTTTCGACAATAAATTTGCCGCAATTGCCGCTACCAATATTTAAGCAGGAGACTCTATGGAGAGAATTCTGAATTTTGAAACTGCTCTATATTCATATACAAAAATCAAATTATTTGGTCTCCTGCTTAAGGGGAGAAGCATCAAGAGCTATGAGAGGTTATGATATTGCACCGGAAAACTACCAAGTCATACGAAAAGTTTTGACTGAACAATTTGGGGAGATTTCACTATTAAGAAATCTCCCTATAACATACATACTATTAAAAGGTATTAAAAGGTACGAGACTGGAAAATGATAGTCGAATCAATAGAAAGAATTCTTTGTCAACTAGAAGCCATCGGCGAAAATTTTAAAGGCTCGAATATTGAAATGCATTGAAATCAAACTACCAGGATGGATATTAGACAAAGTATTTCAACAAAAGGATGATAATGTGACCTGGTCAATAACATAACTTCGACAGTTTCTCGGGAAATTAGTAAATAGAAACAACCAAGTAACTGGAAGTAAAGTTTCAAACACCACTGGTGAACGACAATTTACCAAGTTCAAATCCAAACGTTGGCAACAAAGAAGAAACTTCCGCATTGGCAACAATTAGTCAACATAGTTCAGATAAGTTTAAAGTTATTTCAAATTTGTCGATAGAAAAAGGACTGGATAGTAATTATAAGAGAAGATCTTGTTCGTTTTGTAACAGTATCATTGGGATAGTGAGTGTGAAACTTATCCTACCTTAAAGCAAAGATTAGAAAGTTTAATTAAGATTAAGACCTGTCGAAAATGCCTCAAAGGAGGACACATAGAGTCCAACTGTAAAAATTCTCTGAAATGTTTTTATTGCAAAAAATCACATAACAGCGCACTCTGTCACAATAGACGAGAATTTAGGCAAGCAGTCTATGATGCATCAGCACATGTAAAGAGATCAAAAAGTTTAAATGACTTACTATATCGTGGTCCAATAATACTTTCAGATATGGTGTATATTATTTCGTTTCCGAATAATGAGGAAAGTAATCACCTCCGACATTAAAAAAGGCATTTTCGCAAATAGAATTACATCCCGAAGACAGGAATTGCACCAGATTTCTTTGGTGGAAGGAATAAACAAAGGGGTTTCTGAAGAAAATCTACAGTGATATCGTTTTAAAAGAGTCCCATTTCGATTATCAGCTATTAATTATCATCTGGAATCTTTAGAGGTAAGAAAGAATCTTTATGTTGATAACGTTTTGATATCCGCAGAAGACAAGGAGGAAAATTTAGAGAAATATTTTGAATTAAAAACTATTTTTGAGGAAGCCTCAATGAATATTAGATAATTTCTTTCGAAAAATGTCAGATTCAATGAAATTATACCTGATCATGATCGAGCAAGCCTCAATGCCAGAAAGATTTTAGGGCTTATGTGGTCTCCTAAATTAGATATCATACACATAATTCTGAAACCATGACGAGTAATGAATTAATTAAAAGAAATATTCTTCAATTTGTTGCTTCACAATATGATCCTCTAGGATTTCTAGTTTCTATAATTGTAAGATTTAAATTAATTTTATGGAAAAAAACGTGGGATCAAGTTATAAGTTATGAATATCAACAAGTTTGGGAGTCCCTTATCAACGACAAGACGACAAATGTAGGACACTTGGCTCTGTTTATAACTAATCTTACAAGCCATATGACTTTCACATATTTACTGATGCTTCAAGTATGGCGTACGCAATAGCGATATATTAGAGAAAAGGAATGCGAGTGGCCACAATGTGAGTTTCAAGCACAAGGGCATGAAGAGCATGAAGAAATGGAAAAAAATAGGTTGATGTACAATTGATATAGCAAATGCATAAATATCAACAATTTACGTTCATAGACGCAAACCGATTCAGTAAATGGTTTAAATTAACCATAACCATTTTAGCATTCAAATTAAGAATAACCATTTTAGCATTCAAATTCATCAAACGCATAACAAAAAATTCGAGTGGTTAAACCTATTCTCAGATGACCTCTCATATATAACAATGAAGGAAGTAGACACAGATCGACAAATCTCAATTAGACAAGCACAATTTGAAGATTTCAACGACAATGAAATAACTAAATGGAATTTTTACTATGATGAATATGAATAACTATGGAAATCGATGAGTCGATTGGAGAACTCAAAATTAAGCGAAAACAGTAAGCACCAAATTCATTTATCAAGGCACAATATAATAACCGAACTTCTTATAATGTGCTATCATGAAAATTTACATCATATTGGTGTCGCTCATACGTTATTAACATGAGAAATGCATATTGGATTCCAAAGGGTAGAATAGAAGTCAAACGTGTTTTAAATCAATATATGGCCTTTAAACGTTGGAGTTCCAAACCATGCAAAATGCTAAGGTAGATCTGCCAAAATCAAGAGTTCAATGTTCATCGTTCAAGAACATCATTCGAATAAATTGGATTGGATTATTTAGGTCCTGTCATTTTAAAACAAGAAAATGGTTCAGGAAAGCGGTGGATTGCTCTTTTCACATGTTTTACCATTAGAATGGTACATCTAGAAATATCTAGAAATAAAATATAGTCTATCTGTTGAGGCCTTCTTACTTACATTTAGAAGATTTATTTCTCAACGAGAATATCCCAAATTAATTTTAAGTGATAATGCTGCTTAATCTAGTTTTTAAAACTATCATAGAACAAAATGCCAATTTCCTAGCAACAAGAAGAATGAATTGGAAATTCATAACTCCTAGAACACCATGAGAAGAAGGCGTTTATAAAAGAATAATTGGATTGACGAAGCAAGCAATGAAAAGGGCCATAGGTAGAAAAATTTTATGGGAAAGGGAATTAATAACTTTGATAGTGGAAATAGAAGATATACTTAATATTTGTCCATTAACCTATATAAACTTTGATGACTATTCAGTCTTACGTCCTATTGATTTTATTTCACCTAACGCTTCATTAATCTTACCTATTGAAGACGATAACATACAGGATGAAGAATTTTTCCCATATAAACTAAATACTAGAATTATTAAATATTGGTTGAATACCTTTAAGATCTTGGATGTATTCTGGGAAATATGGAGATCATATTTAATTAGTCTTAGAGAACGTACTAAAAGAGAAATTCCTTCCTCTAAGAGAATAGAAATTAGATCTTTACGCAAAAATCAGTTATACTTAATGAACCTGGAACACCACGAAGTATGTGGAAGTTATCCAGAATAAAGGAACTTCATAAAGGAAAGGATGAGAAAGTCCGCTAAAATAGAATTACCAAACGGTAAAATACTAAAACGTTCGATAAGTGTACTTTATTCACTCGAAATAAACCAGAAAGTGAAACAACTATAGAAAATTCTAATTTGAAATCAACGAGAAAGAAATTCGAAATACAAGAACCAACTGCAATTCATAGTCGAATTCATCGTCGACAAAATGAATGCCTAAAGTGAACATATTAAGCTTATCAATTCAAAGCCTGTTATTAATGATGGCTATATTATTAAAAGTTCAAGCAAATAGTCACATTATAAAAAAACTTGTAAAATGACAACTGGTATTCCTTTTAACCATCCTAATAGATGGAATTGTGAAGAAATACTATAACAAAAACTCACGTTGGCCAAGGTAGTTGTATATGCTATATCTCATATCAAAATTCCAGCAATACGATGCAATAATATAATGCGAGTGGTATGTGCTAAAGCCTTTTTTAGGCTTTATCTGTAATCTCATACCAAACAACCACTTCAGCCACATCATTGCAGACTTGTAAATTTTTATATAAACATAAAGAAATCAATGGATTCATCACGAAAGAGATAGCACCAGACACTTGGACAGCAAATAATAATATACAATACTCCTATGGATGGTTAGGAGTAAGATGGCAATCCACATCAAATTTTGCATTCACTGAAGGAAAATTATTAATTTATGATGGAAAAGATATGGTATCCGATCTTGGTTGTGCTGTACACTGAATACTGTATTGCTCAAAGCGGAAAATGTATTACCAACGATTATAAGTAAAGATTGTAACTTCACTAAAGCTTATCGCATGGATGGCGATATTATCATCGATATGGGACCAAATTCGATCCAGAGAATACGAAATATCAATACCTTTTTGATAATTTACAGCAAGATTTCCAACGACAAATAAGCATAATGCATCAAAGAAGTTGTCAAAATCGTAACAATTTATTGCTTCTAATTGAGTGGTTATCGTCGTATAATCCAATATTAGTTGCCAGATTATTATTACAAAAGAACGATATGATAGTTAAAGAAATCAAAGGAAAATTGTTAATTATTCCATGTATCAAAATCAAATAAATTTAATTCTATAATTATCGAATTCAAAGAAGGAATAATAAGTAAACTAAGTAAATAAGTAAGGAATAAACTTGAATTCGAAAGAACAAATGCAGCATTGGAAATACTAGCTCAAAACCAGGAAGGATTACATCCAGCATCAAATGAATACCAGAACGCTTCTGGGAAGAAACAAGCCAACAAGGTGATGAATTTGCCGAAAACTGGAAATTCAAACTGAGGAAGAATTAAGAGGAAGCAACTCTTGCTATACATTGGAAATTAATTATTGTCTGTACAATTGTATAATATTCTTAATTACAATAATACTTATTGCTGTTATGATGAAATTCAAACTAATTCGATTTATAATATGCACCAAGCAATAAGATTCCAACGAGAACAAATTTTTTAACAATTCCAACGGAACCATTACTAAATAAATTACAGAAATAACTATTAAACAAATTCCCTTACAATATGAACCCCATATTCCACCACTTAATACTTCTTTTCTTCGGTCGGGGATGTCAGAAACAAACAAAGGGAAGAAATAAAATAATAGAAATACAGTAAGTAAGAATTCATTACTTTTTAAATTTCAAAAAAGGAAAAGCAAGATTTTAACAAAGCTTTCCACATCATAAGCACTCAACAATATGCAAATCGAACAAAATTGTTTTTCTTCTTTCTTCGTTCACGCATCTGTTAGCTACTTTGTAGAGCCATCTTATTTGCGCATCAAAAAAATAAAAACAATGAGAAAATTTTTTTTGAATGAAAATAAATTAATTTTTATAAAAAAATTGATTTAATTTTTATGTAATTTGTGATGTTTTGGAGGAACAACCCAGATTGGCAAAGGAGAACCGGTCAGCGTTGCATTGGCAATATCAAGAATCGCCTTCACCTTGCTTCATCAACCTTTTTTATTATTAACTATTCGCCTTGAATATATTCGCTTTTACTTCGAACCTATTAAATAACTATTTTTCATTTATTATAGTAAACGGTATTTTTTTTAAATAAATATTTCAATTCACAGTCGCAAGAGTACATTCTTTTCCAACAAGGAGCGGACTGCGAAATTTTAAATCTCATATTAAATCTATTGGACACTTTTCTTTTATCAATATTCTTAATTTTAAGCAAATGTTAGAACACAGAAACGAATTCAAGGAAATAAATTTTGTGAAATGAAATCTCCTTATTGAACCATCACCAGTAATTCAATTATTGAACCAGTAATTCAATTCATCCACCTTCATTCCTCTTAATTTTTAGTTTCTGTAACCTCTTCCCAATCCTCTTATCGCTTTATTGTCGCTGCTATTTGCGAAACCAATTTAATTATTTTTCTAAACCAAAATTAAACATTTGGATGAGAAAAAGAGTTGCTAATTTTCGAGAAGGCCACTGCCAAATTAATTATTATGCTTCACAACTGCATTTGAGAATATTTATAAACCACTTTTCATTGCATAGATTTTATTTTGAATTAATGTAAGCATATTTTTTTCTAAGACCACTCACCATTCCTGGTTAGACTCGTTCCGTTGGCTTGTCGCATTGTTGACAAATATGCAAGAGAATCCCTTGACGATAAATCGCCAGAATCACCTGCATTTTTTGAAGGTTCACTCCTGAGGAATAGAACCTCAGCATCGACACCCCAAATTGAGCAACATCCCACTGAGCCATTCCAGGCACAGCATATATTAAAAGGCAAATGCAAGTCGCTAGCATGTCTTGATTTGAGTAGTTTGTCACTCTGACATCGTCGTCGTTCAACATTTTTAAACAATCCCTAATATCTCTAATATCTGCAATGACAACGATAGTCACTTCATAAATTATAGTGATTTCCAAATTTTTTATATTGCATGCACTTCTCTCAATACATTTCTGAATGCACTAAAAACGATTTAATGTAACGATTTATATGATGGCAATTGTTTCACCTATACTTATGGATACATTATGAACTTAAATTTTATGGATTTAAGGCTGTCAACTCATTCACCACATGCACGTCGCATTACGCTATTAACTTGATTAAAACAACTGGAACCAGAAAAAATCTCTAATATCTGCCTTATTAAGAGTAACCTTACCACTTACTTACATGACTTACACTTCGATATTTTGTATTAGTTTTATTCATTACATTATCTGTTTACTGTTTAAATAATTGGTACAGTTATAATTTTGTTTTTTATAATTTTGTTTCTCACGTTGTTTCATGTCATAAAAGTTAAAACCAAACGAAAAAATGCATTTTTATTAGTTCATCGTCTTTTACTAAGTTTTTTGGGCCTTAATGGGTTTTTTATTACATTTTTTAAATTTTTTTCTAACAACACTCACCATTTCTGGATAGGATCGTTCTAGTGACTCGTTGGATGAGAAATTTTACCAGAATAATTTGACGATAAAAGTAGAGGAGGGCAGTCGATATCACCTGATATTTTTGAAAAACCGATTTATTCCCGGCCGAGAACAGATATAGTATTAGATATATTATAGATATAGTATCGAAGTTCTGTGCCTTTTTAATTACTTATTTGAGCATAAATTCTTCATAGATATCTTCCAATATTTTTCGTAATGTTGACCAACGAATTAAAACGCAAAATACCTTAACTTTTCTGTATGCCAACAAAGGTTTACAAGAAATCCTATACATTTCATATATATCTTAATATACTTGTGCAATATATATTTATACTTTTGCAGTAAGACATCATACAAAAGTTCGCAGCCCTAATTCCAATTTTAATGACAGGTTTAACTGCGTCACAGAAATCGAAATCTTATTATGCTTGACAAGAGAAGATTATCATCCCTTAATGATAAGACTATCTGCTTGACCTTAGATAAGATTATTATCATTTTTTCGATCCGCTTCATCATTAAAATCAGTCGGATTAATTACATGGACAATAATCTGAACAATAATTGAACAATTTTTTTCAATTGTTCACCTTATTAGCATATTTTCAAAAATATTCTTTTAGAAATTGGTAAAATTTATTTAAAAACATTGTAGAATTTGTTCTTGCAACGAGTGGTCGGATTAAAAATTCCTATTAACTGCTTAATTCGTAACAATGAATGATTTTAATTTAACTGTCGAACCCAATGATAAGATCGTCTTTGCTAGTAAAGAACTTGGCGATGAACCTGTTGTGGTGATGCTTAAAGTAACAAACACAACAAAGGTCAGACCAGCTAAAGTGATAGAATAATGAATTGTTTGAATCCTGAAAATCAAAAATGATTAGCAAAATTTGTCAATGTACTAAAACATTTCTTTTCTTTTAGAAGAATCGCTTCAAAAAGAAATCATTTTAATTTATGAATGAAAAAATTATTCATTCTGTATATCTAATCTAATAAAACCAATATTTAACGAAATTTTATTTTACCTTCTGTCGATCTTCTTTCACTTTTTCTAGTTTCTCTGATTTTTGATGCAATGATGTTATCACTTAATCGCAGTGGAAACAATTTCAGAAGAGACAAGCATGCAAAATAAAGTGCACTTCAAATGCAATGTTCCGCATTCGCCCACCAGTTTTTGCATTAAATGCTGATGAAGCAATCGATGTCAAAGTATCTAAATAAAATTACAAAAAGAAAATTAAAACTTAAAAATCTAAAATTTGAGAAGAAATCTGAAATTATTAACCAATTAATTAAACATTACAAGCGTTACTGACGGAAAAAATTAAATTAAATCCGCATTGCACTATTTTTACCATCTTTAAGCAAAGAGAGTTCCTAAGGAGTGCAAAACTTAAGTACTAATTGGTTTGCTCGAGAAATGAGTCTTCTATCAATTTAAGGATTGTTCTTCGTTTGAATTTAGAAATCAACATTACGATAGCAAAGCAAATTTTAATAAATTTTTTATTTCAGCTGACATTTAAAGCCGGAAATGCCGTGCCCGACAGTGGTAAGCACTATTTTGTAGTATATTATATTAACGCACCGGATGAAAAAATAGCTCCTCGAGTTTGTTGGTCAGAACATAAAAAGGAACCAGCCGGATCAAAAAGGTTTACTCAAAGCATTACTTCTTTTCTGTAGAAAAAAGTTTTTAAAAAATGTGGAAAATCGAACGAATCTCTTGAAAATATCGCAAAATACCGTCCGCAATGATAGATTCTCGATTTAAACAACTCTTTTTTCTTGTAAACATAAATTAACTATATCTTTAAGGCTTTACGTCGATTTTAAACAAATAAAGGATGGAGTGAAAGGAAAGGATAAAAAAGAAAAGGAAATGGCTAAAGATGAAAAAGAAAAGGAACTTGCCAAAGGTGAAAAAGAAAAAGACCTGGCTAAAGATGAAGAAGAAAAGGAAATGGCTGAAGGTGAAAAAGAAAAGGAAAAGACCAAGGATGAAAAAGAAAAGGTCAAGAAAATACCAATTACATCCTTTTAATATGAAAATATTTCAATAATAAAGAATTTTTTTTTAGGCGAAACAAGAAGAGATAAAGGATGACAAAAAGCTAGAAGAAGGGAAGGCAGACAAGGAAAAAGACCAAAAAGATGATGAAGATGATGAGGTTGATAAAGAGAATGATAACAGCACTGATAAAAAGGAAGAGGAAGAAAAGGAAGAATGATAAATTTTATACGATTAAAACTGCCACTTATTATTTAGAAAGGAATAAAATTATGAATTCCCCATATTATCGTAACAACTTGACCTAATCAAATTTTCGCTCCTTGCGTTGCAGTCTTATCTTGTATAATTTTAGTGATTCATTCAATTACTGCAAGTAAAATCAGGTCGGTGCCCAGAGAGTCCACTCGTATTTACTGCAAGCAAAATCAGGTCGGTGCCCAGAGAGTCCACTCGTATTTACTGCAAGCAAAATCGGGTCGGTGCCCAGAGAGTCCACTCGTACTTGCTGCAAGCAAAATCGGGTCGGTGCCCAGAGAGTCCACTCGTATTTACTGCAAGCAAAATCAGGTCGGTGCCCAGAGAGTCCACTCGTATTTGCTGCAAGCAAAATCAGGTCCAGAGGACCCACTCGCTTTTTAGATTCAGGAGATAAATTTTGAAAGTGGAAAAAAACCAAAATCTATTGAACATTTGACTGCAAAAAAAAGAATGAAAGCTCGCATGAAACTGATTCACTATTTCGCAGACTAAGCAATGAGTACGAACGCTTATAACGTCTGTATTATGAAGCGAAATTGTCGGTCGTTTTTATCATTGTTATCTCAAAATTATCAGCAAATTAAAGGCTATGCAGAGGTTAGCGCTTGGGTTTTCTTGGAATTTCCCATAGATTTCCTCTTTCACGCGGGCAATTATTTTTACCCAAAACATTTTTTTAAGCAAATAAACATTTTATAATTAATTTCACGATATATTAGCTAAAAAAATTTCATATTTTATGAAATTCCTCAAAAATTTTTATGGAATTTATAAAAAGAATTTATAAAAATTTCAGAACTTCCAGTTTATACAATTATATATTTCTTATTTTTAATTTTGCTTGCTTCTGTTTTTAATTTAATATTTTATTTTGTTTCATTTATTTTTCGCTTTTTTTAAGAATATTTCTTTTGTAAATTATATTTGTAGGCATTTCAACTAGTTATAGGCCTCGATTTTCAAGCCAAAAAAAATTCTTATATTGTCGAAAACGACGCGATTGGAACTCGAAAGATATCGAAATTCTACGCTAACTGAAGAACAACTTAAACGAACTGCAAGTTTAATGTTTATTTTTTCCGGCTTTATTTTTCTCCTACTTTTCTTGAATCTTTTTAATGTTTTATTTTCCTAAGTATTTCACTTTTTTGATTGAAAGTCGGACGATTTTTTAAATTTTAATTTCTTTGAATTTTTTTAAAAAAGCGGAATAAAAGCGATCGATTGGAATAAAATGGAAGTACACGATCGAGTGTTACGTTGCTTTGTCATGGGTTATCGTTATATTACAATAAAATTAAAATCCAGCTGGCGCCATGGACTTCCACCATGAGCTTTAGTTCCCAGCTGATTTTCTAAAAAAATTTTTATTGATTTTATTAATACGATCAATATTTCTGCTACTGTCCTGACAAAGCATTCAGATCAAGGTTTTTCTAAAATAACGCGTGGCAGGAGAGCATTAGGCTGCTTTCATTTATTATTATAATACTTTTTACATTCACCATTGCTGGTTAGACTGGCTGCACTGGCTACAAGGGTAATACGTCTCCAAGCTATTCGATCCGACTCCGTCGTCGACAGTATTGAAGCCATCCCTTTTTCCATCTTCTAAGTCCATATATCGCTGATCCACTTATACATTCAAAATCTCTCCTGACTGTATCAGTATTCTTCACCTCGCTTGGTCCACCGCGCTTTTGACGACCACTCATTATAGTGTTTAACAAGTAACAAAATATATATGTCAATCCTGTGATATGCGACGAAGAACATGCCCTAACCAGCGAAGACGACGTTCTGGTACTATTAATGCAAACGATGTTTGAGCGAAGATGGATGTAAGGAGATGAGATTTTAAACGGTTTCGTCTACCAGAAGAACACGTTTGTAGGTATCATTATCCGGTTTGTAATTTCGTTCTTTGCCTGGTCACCTGGGATTAGGGTGGATCTAAGGATTTTAAGGCAGGCACTTCCTTAACCGACAATGAAATGAATTGATAAAAATAGGTATTTTATCAGCTTTTTGTTACAAGACGAAGAGTCTTTCATTTTGTTTACATTGACCCTGAATCCAATTCTCGCTGCAGTTGAGCATATTGTTTAGCGTTATTTTGCATTACTGATTAGCTGTTAGCAAAAATGACTACATCATCAACATATTTAAGATCAGAGATACTATGCACTGAACTGAACTGTACACCTTTTGAGTGCCGACAACAAATGCCCCTTATCCAATCTATCACATTGTTAAATATTGTAAGGTAAAGGACTCAACCTTTACAGACAGCGCCTATTATTTCCAAGGAATCTGTCACTTCATATATATAGACAAGTGCCGATATACGCTGATAAAATGCCTTTATGAGCTCCATCATTCTCTTAAGCGCCATGCTATCAATTGAATCGACGGCAGTTGCGAAGTCGATGAAACATGTAACGATGGGATGCAGATATTTGAAACGATGTTACAACACCAGGTCCCTTAGCGGTTAGAATATCAGATCACAACTGCGCTCTGGTCTGAATCCAGCTTGGTTAGAGCATATCCTTCTTTTCATACTGTCCATAAGCTTATTCAGCAGGGAGGAATAAAAGTTTTTCTGGAGGCATCTAGTAGACTATTCCTTCGATAATTGTCACAATATGTCACCTTTCTTAGGAATGGGGAGCTGAATTGGTTTTCTCCAGTCAGTTGGTCTTATATCTTTTCGCCATACCAGAGAATACATTTGTTGAAGATATGACCAGATATGACCAGATATTGTATAAAGGACGATGGACAATATTTGAAGAGTTCGATTCGAAGACCATCTTCAGAGATTTTATTGGCCTTAAGCTTATGGATAACAGAGACTATTCCCTCTTCTGTTGGCAGTTTGCAATTGCGGACGTACGGCTGGACAAGCGAATATGCTATATCCGAGGCAGCAGATGGTGCATCATGGTTAAATTTGGTTTCAAAAAATTTAAATTGTTTCCATCTTATGAGGCGACCCTTAATAGCCTTAATAATCACCATTATTATCATGTATCATTTCCCTATTCCATATACTGCGAGTTATGGTTGATTTGTGAAGGCGAGATAGTTTTCTATTATCACCTAATCGAATCGCCATTGGATAATTGCTTCTGATCCCCGTCGAACGTATCCTGGTATGCAAATGGTTGAACGGAGGCATTCCTAGTTGAGGCCAGTATTCATCCATCGTTCCAGAGATATGATTAATTTCACTGAGATGCTACAATAATTCAGTTTGAAATAAAGTTTGAAATACTATCTCCGAATTTTTTAGTTTGAGACGATTGAGAGACGTTTCTTGCGAGTTGTCAACTTTATGCGAATCTTGGTACGAACCATAAGATGGTATGATCCATGAAGGTTTTAGCACCCCGATAGGAAGGATCATCTTGTATGGGATTTCAAACGGCGACTGATTAAAATATAATCAATCTTGTTGAAATGTTGATTATCCGGATAGTCCCGCATGTCCATATCTTCCCCGATGCTGTTCGATAAAGGCCTTCTCTATTGGTGTATCGGACCCCTATGCCATATTGTCAATTATAGTGACATCGTGATCTATGCGCGCTTTCCAATCTCATACGATTATAGCTATGTCACTTTTCTGACCGATCTTTTTCGGACATGATAGTCGCTACGCCATTTCCCTCCTGGTTGTGCGAAACATTATAGTATAGCCAGTATCTCTGCTCGGAGCCAGGTTTAATAATTGCACGAGAAGTGCGGAAAACGGCCCTCCGATAAACAGGCGACATCCACACGAGTATGGACAATGATCGCTTGCCTCCATTTTTGAAAGATTTCGTGAATTCCTCCACTGTTTAAAGAATTTTTTTTCTTTTTTATTTATTTATTTTAATTTAATTATTTTGAATATTAACGATATAATTTATTGAGATTAAATAATTAATTTAAGCTGGTTTTGATAATCATTGAGGTTTAATTTTTATACAAAAGATTTTATATTTCAGCTGAACAGAAGAGGTTCCGATTATGAACGACTAAAAGAAAGTTTTACGAGTCACAGTGAATATTTGAAATTTATAATTAATGAACTTGAGTATGCTTTTTTAACTCACTGTTTTAATCAATTTTCATCGATTTATTAAAGAAGATTTGTTGCAAATTTGTAATATTAATTTATTTAGATTATTTAATAATTATTTAGAATGTTAGTGTTATATTTCTTTTATTAAAGAGCAGCAAATATTGAATGTCGCATTGTGCGACGGTTTGATTATAACGAAAATGTAATTGCGTGGGCTGATGCGATTTTTTCTGCGGGAGGTGATGGTACTTTTTTACTAGCTGCATCAAAAGTTAAATCAAGCCATAAACCTGTTATTGGTATTAATACGGATCCACTCAGGTACTGTCAATATTTCATTTTATTTGTATAACCTTTTAACTAAAAACTCAATTTTGAGAGAAAAAATTTGAAAAAAATATTAGAATTATTATAAAAATTATTAAAAATATTAAAATTTAAAAGTTTTATATTCAAAAATTTTCATTTAGACTTCTTCCAAAACTGAGTAATTTTCACGACTTTACTTTTTTAACTATTTATTTATTTTATTTTTTATTCCTTTTATTTTTTATTACTTATCTTGTTGAATTATCATATTTCAACTTCCATTATTTTTTATTTCAGTTCAGTTTCTACTTCAGTTTAGTTTTCATCCTTTCATCTCATCTATATTGAATATCTTTTTTATTTTTCAAAATTATCATTCAGTACATCTTGTTTTCAGATCAGAAGGCCATTTGTGTTTATTGAAAAAGTTGTCAAAAGACCATTTTAGAACTGCATTAAAGCGTTTGTTAAATGGCAATTTCGAGCTAGTTTTTATTCATTTATTTCATTTTTTAAAAAATAATCATTTATTCTTAAAAATGGTGAGAAAATGGTGAAAAAAGCAACGATTTTATTTAATATCTGTGCAGAATTTCAGATGGTTATTTCGGCAGCGGATTCGAATAAATTTGCGTGGGGTTAAATGTCGCTTCGAAATGTTTCAAAATCAGTATATACAAGAAAATATACCGACAAATGACAAGTAGGTTCATTTACATTTCGCCATCAAATTCTCATATTGTAAAGTATTAAATTTTTTTTACCTAAACTCCAATCCTTTCCACACCTTTTAATTTATTTTTTATTTATATCTCCACATGAAATATTTTTTTTGTGTGGTGAATCCTTATGAAATAATTTAAAAATTTATTTAAGGGCTGAGGATAGAAATGAGCAGACAGTTATTTTACCAGAATTGGCTTTGAATGATGTTTTTCTTGGAGAAAGTCTGTCTTCAAGAACGTCGTACTATGAAGTACAAGTGGATAATTGCAAATCACAGAAGCAAAAGAACAGTGGAATCACCGTTTGCACTGGTGCGTCGAAAAATATGTTGTTCGTAATATTTTTATTTTTTTCGTACTTTTATTTTTTTAAATTTATTTTAATATTTCATATACATATTTTTAATTATATATTAATATAGTGTATTAATGCTTAAAGTTTTTTTCATTTGTATTTTGACACATCAGTTATTCTGTTTTTTGCACTTTATGCTTTGACATTTTTAAATTGTATTTTCTTCTTCTTCTAACAGCTCTCACCATTACTGGTTAGGCTGGCTCCAACGGCTACAAGGGTAAGACGCTTCCAAGCGGCGCGTTCTGGAATGCCATCTCAGTCATGGAAGCCATTCCTTTTTCCATTGTCTAAGTCCATATATTGCTGGTCCATCTATACGTTCAAAATCTTTTCTCAGCATATCAGTCCAGGTCTTGATTGGCCCACCTCGCTTGTGACCCCAACATAGTTTAACAAGTAACGAAATATGCATCAACTCCTATGGTGAACGAGGGAGAACGTGCCATAACCAACGAAGGCGGTGCTCTGTAATAACATTATTTATGCAAGTGGTATTTGAACGAAGATGGATGCGATCTTGTGATATCTTATCCGCTCGATGGATCCGTAATATGTACCTTAGACAAGAGTGGTCAAAGGCAGATAACTTCTTAATATCCTCTATTCTCATTGGCCATGCCATCTCAGAACCATATAATAAGATCGAACGGATCACGGCAATGTAGATGCGAACTTTCGTTTTTATGGTGATTTCACGACGATTCCATAAAGGTTTCGTCAACCGGAAGAACGCATTTCTAGCTTCCGTGATCCGGATTGTAATATCATCTTTTGCCTGTCCATTTGGTATTAGAGTGGACCCAAAGTGTTCGAAAGAACCGCAGGAAGTGAAAATTCTCGATTTTATGTTCAGGTTATATATGTTACTTCAAATTATACTATATTATATTGATCTGTAATTTCCTCTTTAAATTGTTAATTTTTGTCATATTGATATCGTCATATTGTTTTATAATTAATTTTGTTTATGTTATTTTTTTTGTGTTTTTTTTTTCTGTTATTTTAACTGTTATTATTAATACAAGCATATGGCGTTGTCGCCCTGTTTGGCTGGTTATCAATAAATAAATAAATCGGGCACTTCCTCAACCCGCAATGAATTTACAAAAAGAGGCATTTTATCAGTTTCTTGCACATAAGACGAAAAGACTTACTTTTATTTACATTGATCCTGAGTCCGATTCTTGCTGCTGTTTCTGACACCTTATTTAGTATTACTTGCATTTCATTATAACTGTCAGTAAAAAGGACTACATCATCAGCGTATTTAAGATCTGTGATATGATGCTCTGGACTAATTCGGATACCTCTTGAGTGGAAAAGCAGTGTCCATTATCCAGTCTATCGCACAGTTGAATATTGTGGGGCAAAGGACACAGCCCTCACGGACACCTGTTCTTATTTCGAAGGAATCTCCTCATATACACAGACCTGCGCCGATGTGCGCTCATAAAATGCCTTTATGAGTCTAATGATTTTCTCTGGAACACCGCCACGTTCCATCACTCTCCAAAGCGCTGCTCTGTCAATTGAATCCAAGGCAGCCGCAAAGTCGATGAAGCACGTGACAGTGGGTTGCAAATATTTGAAGCGATGTTCCTTCTTAACGTGAATATCTGGTTAGCACAACTGCGGCCTGGTCTGAAACCAGCTTGATTAGGGCATGTTCTGTTGTCCCGTACATCCATATTTTTGCTGAGTCCAATAGACTTATTCCTCGATAATTGTCGCAGTATGTCCTATTACCTCTCTTAAGAATTGGGAGCAGAATTGCTTTGCTCCAATCATCTGGTAATATTTCTTTTTTTCATACTAAAGAATACATTTATTGAAGGTGAATGAAGGACGATAGAAAGCATTTGAAAAGTTCAACCCGAGACCATCTTCTCCTGGAGTTTTGTTGGCCTTAAGCTTATGGTTAACTGAAATTATTTCTCCTTTTGTTGGAGGTTTGCAATTGTAAGCGTATGCTTCTGTATCAGCTATATCAGGGGAAACAGATGGCGCTTCATGGTTAAGTTTGGCCTCAATGAATTCTTTCCATCTTAGGATGTGATCCTTAATATTTTTAATTAGTACGCCATTGCTGTTTCTTACCATTTCACTGATCTTTCCCCGAGTCATAATTGCTTTATGAAGAAGGCAGAATAGTTTGTCGCCTAATAGCCACCTCCATTCTTGAAGCCATGTCACTCCAATAGAGATTTCTGTCCCGCCTTGCTGCTTTCGTGGCAAATCTTCGAGCACCAGGTAGTCAGGATCATCTGGAACATTCTGGTGCTTTGGCAGTTTTTTCAGATAATTAGACAGTTGCTTCCGATACCCAACTAGCGGACTTCCTACTAGTACGCCCTAGCGTGGAAGTGGCTGATTTTCGGAGACATTCCTTTAGTTTGGACCAGTATTCGTTTGCCGTTCGAGAAAAATCATTGATTTTTATCAATGAGATATTTCAATAATTCGGTTTGAAATGTACTGTCCCGGAATTTTTTAGTTTGAGATGGTTGAAGGAACTTGGGGAATGCTGTTTTCTGCCAGTTGTCAATTTTATGCGGATCTTGGCTCGAACCATAACATGGTCAAATCCATGAAGATTGCCCGTTTCAGCTTCGCGATAGGAACGACTATCTAGTGCCGAGCTCACAGGGACTGACTAATCGATCTGGTTGAAGTGTTGATTGTCCGGGGAATTCCACGTGACTAGATGTTTTGTATGATGCCAGAAACAAGTAATAAAAAGTAACAAAAAGTTCATGCTCTTTGCATAACGAAGAAGACGTTCTCCATTGGCATATCGGTCTCCGATGCAATATTTGCCAATTGTTGAGGTCATCGCAGCTTCATTATGACCTATGCGAGCATTTCAGTCTCCCCTCATTATGATCATGTCATGTTTCGGTAGAAACATTGTTAGCAATTGAAGTTCCGCATAGAACTTGTCTTTATCACGGTCATCTTGCCGACAGAGTTGAAGCACAGACAATGATGACCGAGATGTTGCAGAATTTACCCTTAAAATGGGCATAGGCCATACGGTCGTTTACCGGTTCCCACTCAATCAAAGCGGAATGGGCCTTGTCAGACATGACAATCGCTAAGCCATTTCGTCCCGAGTTATTCGAAGCACCACAGTGATATAACGAGTATCTGAACCATGATTAATAATTGCTCGAGACCCAAAGTGAGGAAGACGGACCTCTGATAAGCAAGCGATATCCACACGATACGTAGACAGGGTGTGGACAGTGATCGCTTGGCTTGCAACGTCCATAAGCGTTCTAACGTTCCACGCTAATACGGCTAATACCTCGCCGCGCGTGCAGAGGGCAGTTCTCCTTGATAGGTTTCGAGCTATCACCCTAGCTTGAGAGCACATTATATTTACCAGCATTACTTTAAGCTTGGATTGTATACTTATCGCATGTACCACCGGGCTCGAAGTATCGTGCGCGTTGGGAGACGCGGACGCCATATCAAATGTAACCATAGAGTCACTTGGGGATAGAGTTACAGGTGGGTTCCCAGCAGCCACCCGGATTTTTGAAATAATAGCAGGCCAAAGACAAAAAAAATTAAATTTAAAGAAAATAATAAAATAGACAGTGAAATTTAAAAAAATATGTATATATATGACTATATGTATATATATGAAATATATATATTTATTATTTAAATAATTTAATTGATTTGATTTAATTTAATTGATTTGATTTAGTTTAATTGATTTGATTTAATTTAATTGATTTGATTTTATTTGTTTATAAATACTAAAATATAAAATTAAAAAACTAAAATATAAAATATAAAGTTTTTTTAAACTTATTTTCTTATATGAAACAATTCACTAATAAATATAATAATATCAAATAAATTCAAGGAGCAAAAAAGAAGAAAATTGCAAAGTGCAAAAATTTTTTTTATGATCCACCAATTCTTTCAAAGGATAATCAGCCATTTATGTGCAAAATTGCTCTTGTCAATTTTCTTCTGGCAGCTTCCACCATTTTTTCGTTCGACCATTTGGTTGAATGTATTGGCTATAAAGATGAGATATTTTCGCCATTTTATATCATAATCATATATGACATAACTGAAGCATCACTTGATTATCCATAGTTCTAAATCTATCTACTAATATTATTATGGATGGAAACCTACATCTATGCTAACTGAATTGGTGATTTAATGCTTCATGTGATATATTGGTGATTTAAAAAAAAGCAAGAGGAAATTATTTTCTCATTTGAAGATGGATCAATTCTGGGCTACCCCAGATCCAGAAGATTTAGAAAATGAAAGAAAAGATATGCAAGCTACAAGCTGGAAAGTTGAAAAATTACCTTCCGATACAAAAGAGCAGTTGAAATGAGGTAGAAAATTATGAATAAAATGGCTATAATTAGCCAACGAGACCGACTATCGAGAATCAATGAATATAATCTACTAGATTAATATAATCGAAAATGCAAATAGCTCTACTTGCATTTCGTAACAATTTTTAACTGCCACTTTAACGAAACTAATGAAATGGTGTACGCCACAGCCACTGTAATTCTCGAAATTCTGTATAAAATCAAGAAAAATAACAATTCGCTCAAGGAAAAAAAAGGCTAGAAAATAAGATCAGAGCACAACGCAAAGAAGTCAGCCAGAAAGGTATAAAGAATAAAACAGTATTCGGATTCTGGAGAAATACAAGGGCTATATCCCATCAGAAACCCTTGCTAAACAAAGGCTCTGGCCATTAGACTAAGGAAGCACATTAGAAAAATAGAGGATACAAAGATAAATTTTCTCCAAGGAATCATTTAAGTTGACACTCTAACTTCAGCAGTAATATGGTAAGAACAGAGCCACCAAAAAATAGAAGCTAGGCTCTCACCAAGGCTGGTTAACACAAGGAAGAACGATATTGATCGTAAAAGATTCTCCGATCTGTCTACCCACAATATGGAAAATCCTATCAGGTAGCATAGCCATTAAATCTCCTGAGTATATGAGTGTAGTTCAAAAATGCATTGGGAACAGTAGAAGTTCCAAACATCAGCTGCTCATAGATAAGGCAGACGCTC